AGACAAAGACATTAATTTCATGGTGGAACGCCGACTCTCGTAAATGTAAGGTGATGATCTGTAGTTCATGTGAAGTTTATGTCTCAACGATTTAATTTATGTATGTGCCCTTCCAAGTTTAACTTCAAGTGAAAAAAATGAGTGTTATCACCAGACTCTTTTAGAGTTTTTTAAAGAATCATTTCTCGGCTTTTCATCGTTATCAGTCTTGTTTTGTATTCAGAGAACGATTAACATTGTAAATAATGTTTAGATAAATTCAATAATTTGTTGAACATGATGCAAAATTAAATTTTAAAAACGACCCCTTTCTTTTTCATATTCCAAAAATCGATTAAACTAGAAAAAGAAGAAAAAAAGGCGACCGATTTTTATATTTAGAATTGCAAAATCGTTGCAATAAAGAGATTGAAAGAACAAAGAATATTTTAAGACAGATCAGGTCTGGGTAAATCAACACAAACGGGCTGTTTAGAGGAGTAGTACTTTAAATATTGGCGTATGTTGTCTCATCTTTATGTAAACGCCTGCAATCAAGAGTACTTTGCTCTCCAGGGGTAGATAATTGCGCCTCGGGGGCGGTGTGGATACTCTCACTTTCCACCTCATCTCGGTTACCCTCCCACCTCTATCGAAACTCGAGACTCAGCCAGGCAGCCACGTACATTATGGGTTGGTCGGTCTGACATTTTTGCATTGGGCGAGTCAGTTGATACTGAGGAAATTAAGGTTTGGATTGTATTTGATTGAGGTTGATGAGATGGTATTCGTGAGTGGAAAGTTGGAGTTATAATTTTTAAAGTTTCCTACCGTAGACACATTTCCATTATCGAGTATCATTGACTGAGAAAAACAACTCCAATTTACGGTTGACAGGAACATTCCTACTGTTATTTTTAAATAACGCCCAGGCGTTTTTTAATGCTTATACGTCTTGGTTATATCATTTCTGTTTTATTTCATTAATTACTTGTTTAAATCCTGTTGCGATTACCAACCCTATTTTTGTTACTGGGAGACAACGAATTTTCTTTTTCCGGCAACTCCCTTTAATTCCGTGTTTGTGGCGGGATTTCAATCAACAGACAAAACACGCCCACGGATCCTGCGTCCGCTTCTCTCTCTCTCTCTTGCTTTTCCTCTTGCTCTCTCCCCATCTCTCTCTTTTTTTCGATATAATATGACGTCACATGTAAACACAGACTCAGTGAAAATTCTGACGGAAACCGTGTCTCGTGATATTTTCGTAAAGAGAAATCCGTTTTCACAAACTGGCCATGTAATCTAAAAGCTTCTTTCATCAGCGTAGCGGAGAGAACTTGTCAAGCGTTTTTCAGTTTTTCATTTGTTAGATCATAAAAAAAGAAGATATATGAAAATGATATGCTTACACGTATGTGCGGGGGGGGGGGGGGTGGTACACACCAAAGCCTACACCAAAGACTCATCTAATTTGATGTTATGCCTGTAAAAAAACATTTTGACAAGTGTGAAAATGTATGGGCGAACTCTTACTTCAAAGTTTCAATTACTTTGTTTTTGTTTATTGGTGGGCCCCGTGACATCACTGACATAAACCCAAACGAAAAGTCATACCGAACATTTTAAAGGGGAACTCCACTCTGATATTATTATTAAGTTGGTTTTGATAGAGTTAACAGAAGTTGGCTGAAAAATGAAAGAAACAGGTAGTCTAAGTGTGAGTTAGAGCAAAAAACGATTTAATATGATATTAGAATGTTACGAATTTTTGAAGGTGTGATTTATCAAACACAAATCGGCAACTCTTTGACGTTCGTGCGAGACCCCGTCCCGTTGCCCTTTTCCAAAAGAAATGCTCATGTACCCTTTACATCTCATTCCATGTATGTTATTACCAAGGGGGAATTAGTCAGTCGGTCACTCAATTGTGTCTGACAGTGAAGTCTAGAAAGTATACGTGTTTCCTTGCATAAAAATGAATACTAGGACACTGTTAACGACTAACGTTTAAATTTCACAGATAGGACATATGTGACATATTCATAACTCCTGCAAAGTTCTACAGAATTTGATGTTGGCTGCAAACGTGACATAGTACCTTTAATGTGCGGTCAAAACGCAACTCAGACATAAACAGATTATTTTTAGTGATAACTCATTTACGACCTTCATGTTAATATGGCTTTTATGGGAGTTGGGAGATTTGAAGTTCAATGTCAGTTTTACCATCGAAACTACTTTTTATTAGTTGATATCTGTGGCTTGGGACGGAAAATGAGTCATCAAATTATGCTCCGAGCATGCTTTTCGTTATAAAACATCTATGACTGATATACCTGTATTCAATCATTCAATGACATGATTATGCATTGTTACGACACTTGCTACTGCGGCAATTGCCCCGCAATGAGTTCCTACACTAAACGAATTCTTAACTTTCAACCATTGGCCCAACACTATATCTAGTCGTAAACCTAAACTTAACCTAAAACCCAATCGCAAAACAACTACTGCATTTCGTCGCATATCGTCTTTTAAAAAAAGACTGGGTAGAAAATAAGAACAATTTTTTATTTTGTTTCATTAGTAGTTGATTGACCTACCCGCCTCTGATTAGAAGGTGCGATGACATTTTAAACAAATATATAGAGCGCCTATGGTTCAGGTCCTGAGAGAGAGAGAGAGAGAGAGAGGGGAAAGGGGGGGGGGGGGGGGGGGTGAATGAATAAATGCTTTACCCAAGGGTAATAGCACAAGGACTTGATCTCGCACCCGTGTCCTTCCGTTTTCAAGACCGTCCCTGAAGTCGCTGAACCTCACCGTCTCGCGTTCAGAAGTATTCCGACCCAATTTCATTGAGGGCCGACAGTAGTTGAGATATTGGTATTTTTTTTCCAAGAATTGTACTTTTCCAGACGACGTAGAAATTGGCTTCAGGTGTTGAACCAGAAGTCAATATTCCCAAAAGGATTGTGTTCTCCTTATACTGTTATAGTAGCATATTACGGTGCTTTAGTTTGCGGTAGAGGATTGTGTGGGTATGGGCGAGGGTGTGGCTGGATGTTGTACGTGAGTGAATACACACTCTATAATATTCATTACCAGTATTGCATTTAATAAAGAATGTGGAAGTGAATTATCAATCATCCAATCATCTTTTTATGATTGTGTTCTCCTTATCGTAGCATCTTACGTTGCGTTAGTAGTGTGAGGTAGCGGGTTGTGTGGGTGTGGGCGAGGGTGTGGCTGGATGAACACGTGCGTGAATACACAATCTTTATTATTTATGACCGATATTGCTTTGAAGAATTTAGATTTGAATGATCAATAACCATATTCACCTGTAGAATAACTAGCGATACGACAAATAAATACGGTTTTTACCTCTCAAGTCAGGCATGATGAAGGGGGTATCCCCTGCCCCTCTTCAAGCATAGGCACCCTCGCTCTATGAAGAAGAAGGTCTATTATGCTTACTAGGCACTAACAACCTCGAGAAAACCACAAGCCGCTATCTACATCACTCGTATGACGATATTAGTTATGGCATCTCATCTTTTTCAATAGCACAGCACATTCCTGCGTGCCGCTGACCGCTAAACTGTTGGTCCCATAAGATGGGTGCCGTAGCAAAGCTTTGAAGAAGTAAACCTTTGTTTGCATTGGAGAAATAAATGGCATTTGATTGCGGCTAGTCTTATATTTTAAAGTGTAAGCATTTAGGTCATGGGACGTAGCAATGTTAAACATCGCTCTGATGCGTTTAATGTGTAGGACAATTACATTATACCTTGAGAAGTACGTCAGAAGAAAAATCGTTGAAAGAAATGAATGGTATCCTTTTCTCTTTTTTTCTTCTTACTGGCAGTGGGTTATAAAGTACAAAGATCCAGGAAAGCTTCTATTTTGACGTGAACAACTGGAGTGTAGATGATGTATTATTTTGCGCATTGTACTGTCGGCGAATGAAAATTTGTGTGATATTGGTAAGCCACCCTATCAGCCGATTTCCTCCTTTGTGGCTTAGCAGTTTCCTTAGACATTGGTCTTGGCAGTGTCCGGTGGAAATACACCAAGCTATTTTGGCCTGAATTGGAATTATCTTGCAGACGGTTTCTATTTTCATTTTATCCAACTAGGTGTATATCCGTAGTCTGTAATAATATAGGTCATTCACGGCGTCTCTACTCTGTTTCGACCCAGATGAACCCTAAATTGAGAATGAGACCTGAACAATTCATCACGTCCCTCCCCTTTTTATTCTCCTCATTATTCTCCTCCTTTCCCTTTGTCTTTGTTCTTATTCTTTTTCTTGTTTCTCTTCTTCTTCTTCTTCTTCATCATCATCATCATCATCATCATCTATTTCTTCCCTTTCCTTCTCTTCCTTCTCTTTTTTTCTGTTGTTACATGACGTAGTTTCATATTTCTGTGAGAACCCTTATTACGTACTCTTGGTATCGCTGACTGTATGAACAAGTTTCTCAAAAATTCCATCACAGAGAGAGAGAGAGAGAGAGGGGGAGGGAGGGAGGGGGGGGGGGGGGGACACCGCTGACAAAGTTGGATTGAAATATATTGTGCCTTGTGTCTTAATAGTTTTAGCCATAAGTCCGTAATTTGTAGGAAGTTCTTAGAATGTAGGTCACATGAACGCATTGGTGCGCTGTGAGATATGGCGTCTCCGTCGAAAGTACTGAGGGATAAACGCAATGAACCAATTTCATATCAATTTAACATTTGTGCTTTATCATTAACTTTGAAATAAATAAGAATGCATTTCTAATGGGGACAATCCTTTATTTTATTTTTCTTTCCAAAATTACAAAGCAAATCATTCGCAGTGAATTGATTTTTAAGAAATATCATTGTTTTGACACGGCTGCCAACGACAGTATCTGTGCGCATTCATGAAGGAAATTATTTATCATTATTCGGAAATGCATCGGGGTAGACCAAGGGGTAGATTTTTGTCTTAAGATGCAGTTCGCAAACCTTTAACAAATGTTAATGTTCTCATTCTCCTTTGGCTCCAGGTACTGTGGATCTAATTAAGGTGCTGAATTTTCCAGCTGAAGAATTGAATGGAAGACCGAAGGGTGTCTCACAAATAAACGGGCGATGTACATCAAGACCAGTTGATACTCAAGTTTATCCTCCCACGGAAAGAATAGACCGTGCTTATAGAATAAACGAAGTCTCTATCACCCGACAAGCTAACGAGTTATTCGGAGGTAAGTATCACCGTCCTTGCCTTGACGTTCAACTTATCTAAGAATAGATAAAATGACAGTTATATTATTATTGGGAGAAGTTTTCGTTCCACCTAGCATTTTCTTTTTATCAATGAACTCTAACCGAGAAAAAGTCGCGAAACATTCTTTCAACGACACCCTTTCAAGTATTAGATGATGGTTCCAACAGATATGTGATTTGTTATTGTATGTATAAAGAAATCAAAAGCCATGCCATTAAATGGACCTGTGAATTTTTTACATTCCCACGGACCAGCTGTACAAACGTACTCCGGTGAAAAACAACCACTCAGAAATGTACGATATACCAATATTGTATAGCATTTCCTGTATTTAAAGGTAATACAAAGTTTTGGGCAATTTTGAAATTGGGTGGAAAGTGATTCTTTAAAATTTTGATATATTTGGATGCCCCTGTGGATGTATTATAAGCAGTAGAAAATTTAGCACCTAAAACACTTCTGCTTTCGAGAAAACTTGAATATAAAAATTGACCGGTGCTCCCGTTAAATTTTGATAAATTTTCAAATAGCGCCTACGGCCGTCCAGTGGTAGCTGCGACCATGAAAATCTCAGAATATGTAGTTGTGATATATAAGTTCCAAACGAAAATAGCTAATCGGTCGATTTTAGTCAAACATTGTTTTATAGTCTAATTATAATATTGACCTTGAGAGGGAGCTATACAACATGAAGAGTGTATTATTAACAATTTCGTAACTTCAGACTCGATTTCAACCGCGACAACGATCACTGAATATTGTAGGATCGCATATGCCAAATTCATGACTCCATACCAAAACTTTGTATTACCTTTAAGTAGTAAGTATTGAAGTTAAATCAGTGATGATCCATATGGAGAACCCTCTTCTACAAATATTACAGTAGTTCTATATTTATTCATGTTACAGATTGCCTTGAACCATAATGCATGGCCCTACAGAGGAATTTTTCCTGTGGGGGGCCGGGGGATAATGCAATGAATTTTTGACAATTTATTGCATTTTCTTCGTTTTGGGGGATATGTGGAAGGGGCCGCGTACCCTAGCAAACACTGCGTACAGTCATGATTCAGGGGCTAAGCAATGGCCTCGTTACTGTGAGGCCCCAGGATAAAAATCGTGTCGATCAGCTTTATTAGTGCCCTTTTGTGAGGCATTAATCCTCATTACTGTCAATTATGATTTAAGGACGTAGGTTCCCTAGCTGATTAGCATAGTAGCACACATATGATTTAGCAGTCACGCAAAACAAACACTCGCAAATTAATATTCAATACAATCTGAGAATGTATGCCATTATCTAGATCTATTAGAATTTTTTTTTTTTTTAAATCCTTCCCTAAACTGGGGTAAAAATAATTATTCCACTATTATGACCAACAGTGTATAAACCTTTGACATGAGAGTCTTTCATTATGTTCTAGAAAGAAATGGAGTGTTTTTTTTAAATTGTAAACCTCGAGTATTATCTCATCTTTCAGAATACTTACCTGCGGACTATTCAATCCTCTTGACGTTAAAATTAACGGGGTCAAAGAGCCAAGCGCTGTTTAGTATCATCAATGAGCAAGGTAATGAACAACTCGTCGTCAATGTTGGTGGAAATTCTCGCATTGGAGTCGTCGGCAATAATGGACAAATTAACAGACATAGATTCGACATGAGTATTTTAGGCGATGGAGGGTGAGTATAATCTTTAAAGAATTAATGTGAAGGAAAAGGATACATTGAGTACTTTTATCGTAGAAAGAGTTGCATGTGTTTGTTACAATCTTTTACACATCTTTTCAGAGAGCACTAAATTCCACTCTTCATAATAGTTAGGTATTTATAAAATAGTTACATATACATGTATTTCAAATCAATTCTTGTTTATACTTGTACTCAGTCACGCCTGGAAAACAAGCGTAAAATCCCAAACGAGTTTCTGAGAAATAATTTGAATGATATAATACAAAGTGCAGAATATTCTTTCTCCGAATTTTACTGTAATCTATATATACATGGGCTTCTTAATGAATAACTGTTCTTTTTAGAATTCTCCAGCTTCAGTGGTTTTCATTACTGGGTGGGGGAATCAATCAGTCATTGCTTTCGATGTGCCTTGTACAACGTTATATATTTTGCATCAACACTTTCTCTGTGATTCTTCTCTTTCTTTGGTTCCAGTATTTCATCTCATAATCAAGTATAAATAAAGATTACGAATTGTGATATAGTTCTAGGTTAAAACACAGCGATCGCGTTGGTACCACACTCGCTGATGGAGGAATCCAGTTTAGAAATGCCGTGAATCGGAAAGATACTCATGATAATCTCCATGACCTCTTTTGACCTGTTGCTATGTGTGATATTCTGCGATGTAAGTACTACAACCCTATCTAGCCAGCTAGCACTCTTCAAGGAGGAGAAGGAATTTTATCCAAACCGTGCCGATTTTACCAGCTGGATCCTCACTAATTTGTCGCTTGTATGTCGTGCGGTAAGCAAGATTTCTTGAATTTCTTCCTTGCTCGGCGAAAGCTTTTCTCCAGATGTGTGGCCGCGGCGTTGAACTCCAGAGGTCAAAGGTAACGCTTGAGGAATTCATGGCTCTGGATGTGTATCTACTCCCTCATGCCCTGGTGTGCCTGTTTTTTCTGTTCTCTCGAGATGTTAGCACAGATGGAAAATGTTCATCTGTAAAGTTGACTCTTGGAAGATGCTTTTACCCTTAATATTCCAGGTCCTCTTGGAATAACAGGTCACTTCGATTTGCCAGGCAGAGAGCTCTTAAGCGAGCCCTGTGATCGCGAGAGGTCACGTTTCTGCTTCACGTCCTCCTGTAAGAGAACACATGGAATTGATTAATGGTCACATGGCTCCGAAGGAGATATCATTCCTGGTTTTTTCATTTAAGATGTTCCCACTCGAAGATGTTTAATGTCCTTCGAAACATAGGGAGCATGAAGGACATCATGAAAATACAGCCTCCTTAATGTGTGCATAACTTTTGGCACGATTTCATTTTCATATCAAGGATAAGTCCAGTGGCACCAGAGAGTGCTTTCTTTGACAGACTGGTGCTCCATTCTTTCAATAACTGCTCTCATGTAGTCAAATATGTTTGTAGAAGAGAAAGTCAAAGGCATAGAAAGAGGTGAGAGCAAGCTAGAAAGAAGACGATTGAGTGATAGGGTAAAAGCGGAGGAGAATAGATAGGGTATGAAGAACCTGTGATGGGGTCGGGGAAGTTGGTTTGCCCATAACATCGTAAACGTAGTAAATGATGATGGTTATGGTCATTCCTGGTTATCAGCTTTGTGGTAACTGGATGGGCACCTGTCACTTGGGCACCTGTTGCAAAAGTTTACGTGCCACCCTCCCCTATGGCGCTGTCAATCCTGAAGGCCAAGTTAAACCCATCAATGGACGTGATTGCCACACCCAACGCCATACCCGTGTTTGAGCGTATCAACCAGGAATGTGAGCCGACAACAAGAATGAATGATGGATTGCAAGAGGTTGTACCAACTACCAACTGTAGGCTACCAAGTACCAAGTAACACACATTTCAACCCTAGTCGGACCGTCCTGAAAGCTCATATGGCTGGACTTTCAGAGATGGATAAATCCTAGAAAAGTAATTTCTGAGATTTGTAAGCACCCTTCATCCACTATTAACTCTTTCAGTTAAGAATTTGTTTGATGGATTCAGGAGTCTGTCGTTTCCTTGACAAATTTTTTGTTCAATTTATGTTGCAAGTGTCGCACACTCGAATCTTCAGGATGGTGATCCGATGTTACATGAATACCTGATCTCCCGTCTTGTTTCAAGTCTTATTAAATGTCGGTTAAATGGATGGCCTGTGGAAGCTTAAATATAATTAAATATTGTTCATTACTTTTGATTGTTGCAATTTTTTCGTTCTTCAATTTGGTTAAATGAAGAAGACAAAAACAGCGGGCCGGGAAGGCTAATGTACTTAATCTCTTACGAGTCTTATCCGATGAGAATACAAATGTGGAATGCACTCTGGGTGTTGCATAGTAAATGTCTGTATTTGTGAACAAACAAACAACAGAAAAAACAAAAAAGACACTGCCGCTCTGCGTGTTGTCCTGAAGAAAAAAATATTAAAATATATTAAGCCAAACAGTTAAAATTCTAAGATAGTGAAGGCAGAAGAACGTGTTAAAAATAATGGCAAAAGGATGTTTTTAGCAGTACCCCAGATCAATGTCGATTTACAATAATATGAATGCATAATGCAGCTATGAAGGACATGCGAACACTAGCATCATGATTATTCAAAGTGTGAAACAATAGAATGCTGCGTCCAAAGCGCGCTCATAATTCTCTCTACATTATGGTTTGGCTTTTTCTATTTTTTTCGAGAACTGTTCGTTCAGGCTGGAGAAGGGTGAAAAAAGAGAAAACCTTCACATCTTCAAACTTGCTGGCAGTGATACCAAATGTTCAAACCCAATGTCCAGCTTCATAATTCCCACAACGAATGAAATGATTTGAGATCTTTTGTTTACAGTCCCTATGATGCACGGAGACCACTGGCTCAAATCATGAAAAAACGGGCCTACGTGAGCAAAACTGCAACCACGAAAACATATGGACCTTTGCAAGAGGTTGAATGTCAAACTATATGCCATATCGATATTACTGACATCTCCAACAATCAACAGAACGTGGGTGTCTGACATGACTGTCTTTTAGCACTCAAAAACTACCCTCAGGAAACAGTGAAGGCCATTCTATTGCTTGTTTCATTCTTCTTAGTCTGTATGTCTAGCTTTGTAAACGTATACTGTTGTAGTAGCCTATGACCTTCTTTTTTGTATGTTTGTTTCAGATTGCAGTTTCTTGACGATCCAATAACATAAGTTTAATAAAGCAATTGCAGCATTATGTCGTAGATTTTGAAAACAAACGCTAATGGTTGAAATCCTTTCATGGAGATTCATGGAGCTGTGTAGTGCCTTGATGAACCTATCCAAGCACCCTCCTGCTCTTTAAAGTCGCACAATGTCGAAACAAACGGCGGGATTGACGAAAATGGAGACAATCCGAAGGTTGAAAGAACTACAACAGAAGTGTTGATCATAGTGCAAATTCGTACAAATCTCGCCTCGCGGGTGGAGATGTGTTTTGTGTGAGAGAATTCACTGTGACCTTCCACCGTATCTTGACCCCGAACAGATGGTAGCAGATGTATCCGATGCGTTGCCCAATCCAATCAAATCTGTTTGGAATAGTATTCCTTGATTCCGGACTCTTTAAACAGCCGCAGAACAGAAATTTGATAAATCATCAGCAGACACTAGACATTTCGGGCGGGAAATTTTGTACATAAATGGTCGAATCAGAGAGATAGGATGGTCAAATCAAGAAGGCTTCACCCAACAATTCAGAACTTTTAAATGCGAACTGTAAAGTTACAGGATATAAGATGGACGCTAAAATTACAAATTTGTTCGACATCGGTTATGGATTCCGACAGATATTCTAGTGGGATGTTCCGTCCCTTTTCGATGCCCCTGCCTGTCTTACATCTGTTTTAAACAATCTTTGGTTTCCAAAATGGCCGTCGGAGAAGCAAACATGATTATTCAAGGACTTCCATACAAACAAAATTTAGAATTGCAAAGAGGTGGGCGTTGGATCTGTCAGAAGAGTGATTTATTTTTTCATTCGGGGCGCCCCATCCAGGGCCATTGCAATATTCTAATCAGTGAACGTTATACCGGAATGGTTTAGTCTGCTGTACCCAGGGAGTGTAAACAGAACGCCCACCAACTTGACATTGAAATCTTTCGAAAACATGACCACCGTAGGCCTATGTTTTGACTTTTATATCCCCACCACAAATATTATTGAGTTAGTGTGTAAACAACTAAACAAGAGATTCCACGGTACTTCCTCTAGTTAAATACAGGTCCATGGTACTCGTTTGTACGATGTTCAAGCAAAGTATTCAGTTTTTTAAAAATAATCAAAAAATTCCAAACTTATGAACAATGATCTTCTTAAGTATAAATGGGCAAAATGAGGCAGGTCGGACTGCGATCGATGATGATCTATTTACTTCAAGAATATATTTCAATAAATGAATCGTAGATACATAACTACATTTAATTTCGTTGTATGAAATCATCCTTATCCTTTCATCTGTGCATGCAGTCTTGAGTAATTACCAAGGTAATTAAGGAAGATATGGTGAATATCGTCCTTTTTTGTACGGGCGGATTTTTTGTTGTGAAATGCCAACATTAATTTTGGTAAAAACTTGACGGTGTAATGCGATCACACTCGAGTGCAACTCGGTAATCCACACCGATCGTAAAAAATCTTAGTTGTTTAATGTTACTAGTTTGAAATTCTGTTTTACGAATATTTATTTGGCAATATGAACTTTTTTAAAATCAGATTTGAGAAATCCGCGCCTCATCAATCATAGCTGAACAACCGTGAGAAACAGGCCTGGAACTTTGGGAAGTACACAAGTTGCTATGAAAATTAGTTGAGCGTACGATTATAATGTTAGTTTTTGCGTAAAAAACGTTTAACTCTTGATTAATCCCGAATACTCAGATTGGAAGGACCAGTGATAAGGAGTGGTTTCAGAGACATAATCAACATTAATCATCATACTCGTTACCTAGAACCAAAGAAAAAATATTAAGGTCAGGAAACTAGTAAGTTCTTTGCCCCGTTCTTTGCACGAATATCGATCACTGTCTAAAGATTCATGTATATGCACAAGTTTTTTTAATAAATGCCTGTCGCATGAGAAAATCATCAGTCATCACAATCTTCTTCAAAACCATCGAATCAATGTTCCTGGCTCCTTTTTAAAAAATCATTGTATGTTGGCAGTATGTACATTTTGAAAGAGACATGATTTTGAGAGACAAAAAGTGCATCAACTTCTCATCGTTTAGCCTTATTTTCTTGGGCGTGAGAGACTGAGTGGGTTATGCCGCAGAGACTACTTGGTGTTTCATTCACGGCGAATATCTGCACATGTCATTACGACTCTTACCTCCCTATTAAAACCATTACCATCCTAATCATCATCATCATTACCGCTACAGCAACCCAAAACTGCCTTTCATTCTCTTCATCTTCGCGGGGATGTGTAGTCTGGTTTTGCTCTTGGCTTCCAAATGATAACAAATACCCGTGGCCCTTGGCGGGGACAGCTATAGACACCCCCGCCCTTGACGGTCTAAACTGGTGGGAGACGTAGATTGTTGATGACACGGGCAGCCTCTCGACCTCATGTGCATTCCAAAATTCTATGATGGAGCTTTCATCTGCGCTAACAACTGATATAAGTAATTTTTATCGAGCATGGGAATATGTGATAAAGATGCTGATGGATGGCAATATGGTGTATTCTTGATGGGTTGTGTAGGTTTTGCTCTGATTTGTACCGGATTTGTACTACTCGCTCTATGAAATCTAATGTACAGGCGGAAGCACTATTGTCTGTTAACTTGTTCCATAGCTCCCCCTTTTCACCCTCTTTTTTCAGGTTAATAATAACCATTAAAGGTAAAGACCAGTATTGGCAACGCCCCAATTTCAAAAAATGAAATGGAAGCTCTCATTACCAATCATGTGAAAGAATATGTTTCGACTAATACATGATGATAAAAAATTTGCCGGGAAACCGCCTACTAATTCATATATTTGGTAAATTTATTTCTCTCATGGTCTGGTGAGAGAGATAGGGTAGTCCCATATACATCTTTCTGTGTATAGTGCTTGTAACTTTACGAAGAATGGGCCAAATTTCTTATCATTTTGATGATTCCAGAACCTTGCAGATGCTAGATGCTAGATGATCAACCTTTTCTGATCGATTCCACAACGTTTCTTTCACAATGCAATCGCATGACCATTACTGGTCTTTACCTTTAACATGTTTAAATTTAGGTTAGGAGAGTGAAAATGATTGCTGCTGAGAGCCGAAAGGGCATTTGCTCTGTTTTAAAAGTTTGTGTCTCATTGGCTCTCGGCTCTCAGTAGAAATTGATGTCACTGATATACTGCAGATTATACTTTTACTATCACATTTCATTGTATCCGAGGTTTTTTTTAAACAGAAGAATTACAAAATATAACAAAAATTCAAATGAATCTAATGATTCTCTCCCCAAACTATCTATAGATGGCATCGAGTGGCATTAAGGGTGAGCGGAAACCAGGTCTCCTTGACCATCAATTGTCTAACCCCCCAAAAGTGGACGATTGAGAGGAGTATAAGGCCCTTCCCTCTCGATCAGGGAGTGTTCCTTCTCTTTGGCTCAAACATCAATGGAAAGGCTAATTTTGATGTAAGTGTTGTAATTTTAAGTTGAATGTCAAATAATAATAATAATAATAATAATAATGTTTTTTTTACCCGGGGTGGCCACTTCAGTTATGAAACTGCTATTCCAGCGGGCCCTACATAATATAATATGTTATTACTACCCTTCTCCAATCTAACATGCTTAGCACCTAGCTAGAAGGCAGAAGGTCCCATTCCGCGCGTACGCAGGGGGGTAGTTTTGGGGGTTAATCCCCCCTTAATTTTTTTAATTGTAAAAAATATATATGTGCTCACCCCCTCCCCTCCCCCCCCCCCCCCCCCCCCCCCCTCTGCTTATTCAGCGGCTGGCTAAGTCGTTGCGAAATTTTCGGCGCGATTTAAACATTAAAAAAAAAAACCTTCTAAAAATCCTGCATAGGCCACTGGTCCCATTGTTATAAATCTTCGGTATGACTCGGGGCCCAGGACCTCCTGTTCATGAGGAATGTAGTTATAAGGCTATGTAAATAGATTTGTAAATAGATGTTTTAAGCTTATGTTATCTGGCATCTAAATATTTATACATGTAGTTTCATCTTTTCATTACATCTTAGATCTAAGTTCTTACTTAAATGAAAAAGTAGAACTAGATCGTAGCAGTAAAACTCAATGTGAAGCTGTCCCATGCTGCTGATCAGAAGATATCTAGGAACACAATTCTCTATAAAGTTGAGATCCCTGGTGCTGTGAAGGTGTGATGGGAAAATGAGGAATGATGTAGAGAATGTCATTGATTTACAGCAGACTACCCACAAGGTCAAAGGGTCATGGCATTCCCGCGTCAATATGACAAATATGAGTGAGGGATGCGATATGACAACAGACCTGGTAGAACAGTCTCACAGCACCCTCTTCATTATTACAGTTTTATCTTCATGCTTTGAATGTACAGAGATGGTGAAAATATTCACTTCAAAGTATCCTTCATCGCAGGAAACAAAAACATTGGCAACAAGTTACATTACCTCAGAAATATGGAAGAACCCTTTAGAAAAGAGGTTAATTTTCACTTCAAATTTTCACATAGTTTAATTGGTGCCTACATAGAAATGAACACATAATCATAGAGTAATGTCTAACTTCTAGACTTTGCAACACTCACAAAATAGTGCTTTTATGATGAATTTCAGGCTTTTTAGCGTCTAGTTAATACCGCACATTGGCAATATGTTCAGAGGGTATTCAATAGTATGACAAATTGACAATGTATAAATGTGTCTGTATAGAGAGGAGGGTGACTTCTAGTGAAGGGGATAAATAATTGCGAGTTTTCTCATTCTTTTTATTAACATGTTGGAAATCATCCAACGACGATAGAAAACGCCATGAAAACCAACAACAAGTACAAGTTGCAGTATCCCATATTGCAGTTTCCCAAGAAGAGCATCGATCTTGGGGTGTTTTCACATTTCAAATATAACTCAGCATAGATCAAATTCCTACCAATTTTGATGCCACATGTATGTCCCTTATATATATCCATGTGTTTGTTTCTTTTCAAAATTCAATTCAATTCAAATTTTCTTTGTGATTGTCTTCATGATGGAGTCAATTTGTTGGTGTCTTGATGATGATGATTCAACAACCTCTCAAACACTTCTTGTTCTCATGCAAAGCATAGCAACCCTTCCCAATACTTGTACACAGTTTCTATCATAATGTTGTAACATAACTATTACCTAATATTACTCTGAACAAGAGAGACCAGATTGATATCTTGTCATGTTTTCTTTCATTTTAGGGTCTCATCCAACAAGCACTCATCATTCCAGACCCAGCTGCAGCAAACCTTCAATGCACAGATTACGATGTTGACTGCGCCGGTGCTGCCAACGTCTTCTTGGAAGAAGCAAGGGTAATAATCACATCTTGAATGATATAATTGTTTCTGTAATGACTTAAAACTTCAGTCGCCTGCTCAAAATTGTTGCTATTTTGATCACTCCTTATTTGCTTCAACTCTTGGGTATCATAATAGACTCTGTGGATATAGCTATCTATTTAAATGACAAGTAGCAGCCAAATGAAATGTCATGTCCATTTTCTGCTAAAGAGCTTTATACTGTATATCACTTAGATTATTAAAAAAAAGATAATAGGGAAACACAAGTTTGTACATCAATGAAAAACCATGTCCATGGCTAGCTCTATACTGGTTCATACAAGGTTGGTTTATCATAGGCATAGCCAGCTATTGCCTATTGGTCCACACTGCAGGCAACAAAAATATATACATCGTAATAATCATAGCATTTAACAGGGATGTCAATTTTCAGGCAATAACCCAAATTGAGGCCCGGGCGAGTTATTTTTAGATCATAGTTCAGGCTTTTTGGTGTATAAAATAGCTGATTCTAAGTGATTTTCAGGCCCTCTGATCAATTCTAACTGGCATCCCTGATTTAAATACATGTATAATTGTTTTTTGTTTTTAAGAACGTGAAGGTAGAAATAATTTGTGGAATATGCTTATCTTTCTATATCAGCTTCCAGATTTAAATACTGGCGAGCAGGTGAATGGACCGGTGAATGTATACGATGGTTCTGGTTATGGAGAGGGTAGCGATGGCTTTAGCTATGACATCTCGGTCATTGACCCAGGGCTAAAAGTCGTGGTTGCAGGTGAAGGAGCAGGACCCATCAGTGCCAGTGGTGACAACAGGGTGAGTGAAGGTCAAAGGTGAAAGTTCACCATGTAATTGTAATGCTAAAGAATCAAGGACACGATTGCAAAACCTTTCAAAAATTGACTTGGGGCAATATCAGTATTTTTTTTTTATAAATCATGGTCAGATGACGCAATCCGTCAAAGTAACTTTCATTAATTTCAATGGGTGGGGGACAAGGCCATTCAAATTCCCTTGAATTCCAAAGCCTTTGTGATCATAATTGAGTGAATATGCCATTTCAGCAAGTAAATCATTCAAACAAAGCATACATCAGAGAAAACCAGACAATTAACAACACACCTGAATGTATCTCATTATTTGGTAATTTAGTCTGGAATATATGAATGACATTAATTATTGATTGATGATCGCCATTGATTCAGGCATTTCGTGGCATCCTCTCATAATAATCTTGAACTTTTTTCCTACAGGGATCTAAAGGACAAAAGGGAAACCAAGGAGAAAGCCGGATTGTAAGTGTTAAATGTTTTGTTTGCTTCTATATCGCCCATAAAATATTCTGGTTTTATACTTAAATTGTAAAATAATCAAGTAGATCTAAGCTAGGTATTCTTAATTGTTTTCTATATATCAGAATATTTTTGTTGATGATTTTATAGATGATCATAGCTAAGAAGTGTATACTCATTAGTTATATAAGTAATGCCACTCACCCTCTAAGTCAAATGAATAATGATATCGATGACTTTTTGTTAGACAATAGGAAATTATTTTTCATGGAAGTTAAGTTACAGGCATTTTAATTTATAGGCCATGATTGAAATCCCAGTAGAAAGAGCTTTCATTTATCATGTTAATCCATAACCTACAGGAAACGGGTGGTCCCTTATTATGCCTATGGGGATTAGAGAATTCAGTATTCAAGCAGTTAATTGTCAGTAGTGAGGAGAACCAATATCATTCTTTCATCTCTATTTCATATGTCATATGTGAAATGTCATATGTGAATTTTCTCACTCTTGCAAGTCGTGGATACAACAGCATTACTTTATCTTTTATTTAAAAACACAACTACTCATTTATATTATACTTCCATAAAGCTAGTGGAAGAGATGGGAGATGGTGAGTTGAAAAAGAGAGAGGTAGATGGAGAATAGAGTTTTTAACCAGTCCTTAGTACCTTTCTTGATCGTTTCTTTTCTTTTTTTTCTTTTTTTTTTAAATATAGGAACACTATGCCGGACCAGTGGGACCAGCAGGACCAAGGGTAAGATATGTGTTGTTTGGAACAAAAAGAGAGCAGTTTAATTAGTTGATCAACTATCCTCATAAGAAAATTACCTGCGCGAACACATTGTTCAACTACAGATTTCCTATGCAGTAGAGTAAAGTTGAATGCCTTTTTAATATGTTTTCAAGGGAAAGCATTGTCTAAACACTCAATTACTTTGCTTTCCAGTGTGCAAATCAAATGTTGTATTTCCAAGGACTCCTTTTAAATGGCACTGAACTTGCATTATTGGCATAGATGCAACCAGAATCCATTATTAGTTTTTTGAAAGATGGCTCTGTTCAATTTACAGTACATTATTGCCCTTAGCTTGAACTTATTTGTTATCCCATCTTCCTGGCAGCCCAAATTTTATTCTGCAAATCATTTCCTTGTTCTCTACATTTATTTCTAATTAAACAGAAGCCTCCCAAAAGTATGCGCATTTAATTCAATTCAATTTCAATTTCAATTTATTTATGTTTCTAACAAAACATTAAAAATCAATTATAAACATTTACAACCATTTAGGAAGGCATGTTGGAAACAGAGGGGTTCAGTAAAAAGCTATGCATATATGGATTTGAGATTTTTATACAACTTACTACTACTGAATTGTATTTGGATAACAGGGGTATGCTGGGCCACCGGGACCGGATGGACCTAGCGGCGGACCAGGAGTGAAAGGAGAACGGGTGAGTTTACCCTTGAGATAAGAACATACCCCATCTACTCCTCATGTAGGCCTCTGACTTGTTTTATGAAGTTCTTGCAGTATCAACCTGATAAACGTTTTGTTTATCTGTTCAATGTACCTTTTTGGTTGAATTCCTCTTAATTACTTCTCTTGCATAGGACTTATGGCTAATATATTTATATCCACATTGTATAAATGGTTTTTAACACTCTGGGATTATCAGGATGACCAAGGAGTTGTTAACATCATAAACATGTTCCAAATGAAATTTATGGCCGGGCTGTTGTTTGTAAACTTTGAATTTCTGAGAACACAGATGATCACTCCGTGGCCACAGTGCATTTTTGTGATTAATTCCTTCGAACTAGTTTTTAAACTCTGGGATTATCAGGTTGACTAAGGAACTGTTAACATCATAAACATGTTCCCAATGCAATTGATGGTCAGGCTGTTGTTTCTAAACTTTGAATGTCTGTCAGTTTTGTGGTTAATGCCTTGAAAGTGTTCCCAATCCACTCCATGTAAATTATTTGTTAAAAATCTTTGATTCTGTGACCACCAAAAAAATATTTGTTTTTCTTTCTTCAATCATCAATATGATATCCAATGTTACCTTTTGGCAAAGAATTTACTTCTCCATAGTTTGAACACAAGTGCACTGTGTGTGTGAGCGCACTGTGAGCACACTGTGAGCACACTGTGAGCATACTGTGAGCGCACTGTGAACACAACTGTGAGCACACTGTGGAAACAAGATTGTGACAAAACCATGTTTATATTGTTAACAATTCAAACGTGTTTCAAATCCATTAGAAGCTTCCACTGTGAAGTGCACTATTATGTGAGTTTCTCAGTAATCAGTCTACACACAGTTTGACCATTGTATGTCGCATTTACTGTGGAATTAGTCCAAATGCACTGTGCCATCACGGTACTCATAAGATGAATCTTTTTTTATGACCACAGTGTGTTAAAATTGTTCAAGGAAAGTCATTCCAATTCCATTTTGTGGTCATACTGTAACCACAAAGAATCTGACAGTATGGAAACTGTGAACACATGATAATGTGAGGACTTGGTGATTCCATCTGTTGTTCCAGTGTGATAACATGTACTTTCCAGCAATATATGCAAGACTTTTTGGTTGATCGTGGAGTCAAAACAGAATGTACTTCACTCATAATCTATATATCTCGACCTTCATATATTCTTGTCACAGAGGTGTTTATAAATATTGTTGTGTATTATAATAATGACATCCTTCTAGTTGCTTAATAATTGAAGTCTTGTGCTTGAATTCACATGTCAGGGCAGGCCGGGGCGAGATGGAGTTGACGGGGTGAATGGTTTAAGAGGACCACCTGGACCAAGCTTTATCGTTCCGGTGAGTTACATTTCAACTGCTGACTATCTTTGACAGGTTCATTTAAATCCAGTAAAATTTAGCTTACAAGAACCAGTTATTACTTCATAATTTATCGGCTGATTTGCTTTTTTATTGCCCTTTATTTTTATCTGGCTAAACTAAAGCAACAAATGCTCCAGTATCCATAAAGTTACAGTTGCGGTGAGGGTGAGGAAGCAAGGATTTCACTAGCTTATAACAAAAACTGTAATTTGTCACTGATGACAAGTTTTGTGAAATGGGGCCCAGATATAACTTTCATGATGACGAAAATAAGAGATCCATTAGACAACAATTGTTCCATTACCAACAATTATTTCTTTCTTATTGTCCTTAAAGAAACACTTCATGAAATGCACTCACAAAGTACTAACAATATATTTCTATATATTTCAAATATACACTTTCTATGACTTCCCCTCTCTCTGGCTTGAGGGATTATATTCTTAAAAAACAACATTGGACTCACTATTCTACATCACATCTTAAACCACCGAGTATGCAAGGAGTAATTAGAATTCAGGCGATTGACATCACCTGCAGTATACAATGGACTGAATCTGTGAATCTATAGCCAGATGACGAAGCCACTGGACCACATAACTCCTGTAGATTATAAAGTTTCACTTGAAGACCCTTATCGTGGGATGATAGGAAATGAAAGTTTGAATGTTATTTATAAGATGAAATGGGCCATTAAAACACCAAATATGGGCCCTGTCTTATCGCAAGTTTGCAGTCCCCTATCTCTTTTGTACATAGTTGCGGTTGATATCAATCGAAAACGAGTTTTGATTAGTCATCTATAAGACTGGGCCCTGGTCACATTTCCTATGGACCACAGTGGTTAATCAAGATTCAAGACCCATTTAGTGAAGAGCTTGGTAATTACAGTTTGAGTGTTGTTTGTTGGTTTCAAGGCAGCAGTAATGTCAGCCATGTCTGATGCAGCATCTAGCAGTAAAGGACCAGGAAGTCAAGCCAACCTGGCAGCCATCAGACAGGTTTTGGAGGAACAGAGGGTATGTATCTCTTTTTCATTCCATCTCAATTTTTGACTGAGGTACCTAAAAGAATTGTAAAAGCTCTTAAAGACGTGACTGAAACACAAAGGGCATATATACTCAGTGATGTCAGTAATTTGAAAGTCTCTATTTTACATGAGCTCAATGAAAGTAAACTTAGTTTAGGTAAAATTATGCCAGATTGTGGCAGTGCAAATACTTGACCCATTTCCCAATTATGTTGCTCAACCTCTATGTCATAAACTCTTGATATTTCAACAATATTATACACATTATCCATATTATCTACACGTATCTTCACTTCATGTATCACACTATCACTACCAACCATACATATTCTGCATACACAAAATTCTAAAGGAATTTAAATCAATTTGATAGTGTATGTAATGTAATGTTATGTATATTTTTAATTATGCAACTAATTTATTTTTATTTTGAAGAAATACTTGCTTTTTATAACTAGCCAATTCTTGTCTTTTTCATTACTTTAAGATGAATTTCAATCAAACATTTAATGATCAATTGTTTTGACTAAACATAAATTGTGCTCTAATAAACGAGGAAGTAAATCTTTTACACACAATTGCCATAGAACAATCTTATATCAATTAAATTTCATATTTTGTTAACATCATTTACAGATAGCAATGAGAGGAGAAAGGGGACCTCCGGGAACACAGGGTTCAAATGGTCCTTTGGTAAGTCTAAGCAGTCTTAATACTCTTTTCATCAATCCCAAGTGTGCTTTGGGGGTATCAGAATAATGAAATAGTCATTAACCCTTGGCCTACTGGAGCTGAATGGTTCCTACATTTAATCTGTGGGAATGAGATCATTCAGGATTCAACCGGTAAATAAATGGCAAGATTCACAGAGATGCAAGTGAGGTACTGCAACAAATATTTTCTTCAGTATCCCTAATGGTGATATTAGCTCTTATGTATTAGACTTGGCAAAAGGAATTGCATAAGGTCAACATAATGACGATATAACCATAATTGTGTAGTCAAATTCACCCCATCAGTATCAATACTATTCTTCCTGAGGGCATGGCTACAATCTTATTCTTGCCCCCAAGCTTAAGCTGAACTACCATGATGAGGCACTCAGTGATTGCAGTCATTCAACAAATTATTTCAATCCTGGTACCCAGTTATGAAGATCCATCGAGTGGCAAATATAGATTAATATTCTTTCAAAGGACACACTTGCCAGGATAGGGTTCTAAATGCAGTTCTATGTACTTCATAGTCCGGTATGTAATCCACCATTCTCCACTCAGCAATGATACCTCAACAAATTTTCTCCTATTTTTGTCTTCCAGGGTCCTCCAGGACCAGATGGGCCTAAGGGAGACCCGGGCTCCTTGGGAGACTTTGGACCACGTGGACCATCAGGAACACCAGGTCAGCCAGGACGTTCAGGCAAGAGGGTAAGGTTTCATCTAAGATTAAAATCTAATATACACCATGTTTTAGGTTAGTTTGATTTGACCAAGTTAAATCTGGTTATTATAACTTGTCTAAGTTAAACATGGTAAAATGATTAATCTTGACCGACTTAAACCGGGTTCAAGTGGGTTTACCTTTTAAAAATTAAACCTGGTTAAAGTGAGTTTAACTTCTCAAGTTAACCTGCTTAAATTGAGTTTAACTTGCCAAAGTGAAACCTGTTGAAATTGAGTTTAACTTGCCAAGGTTAAACCTGGTTAAAGTGAGTTTAACTCGCAAAAGCTAAACCCGGATATATTGAGTTTTAATTGACTGAGTTCTATCTTGTTAAAGTTGACTTATTTAATCCTGGTTTAGACCACTGCTCTACCACTGAACTACCACCTCTCTGCAATAACCTTTGATTGAATGCATTTATTGATTCAGATGTTTCTTGTGTCTTTGACAGGGTCGTCCTGGTAAGGATGGAGGTCGAGGTCCAGCTGGTATTGGTGGAGAGAAAGGAGATCGTGGCTACGATGGGTTGCCAGGATTACCTGGTGTGAAAGGAACGTTTGTAAGTACTTATTTTCTTCAATTTAGACAAAGAGTAAGGAATTTTTCTAATCTTGATTTGTTGCTTACCCTGGTAGATGATAAGATTGTTTTTGTATCTTCATTCTATTTAGCGTGAGGGAGAGAGAGAGAGAGAGAGAGAGAGATAGAGAAAGAAAGAGAGAGAAAGAGAGACAGAGGGAAGGGAGAGAGAGAGAGAGAGAGAGAGAGAGAGGGAGAGAGAGGTGGTGGGGGAGATAGAGAGGGGGGGGGGGGGGTGAGAATGTACAAGTACCTCCATTATTCATTCTGCTAATTGTTATGTGATGAAATGAAAGATAATTCAATTTTTTTCTTTTTTTCTATCCACCTAAAGGGACGATCAGGAGACACAGGACCTCAGGGAGACTCAGGACCAAAAGGACGAAATGTAAGATATTTCTATTTCTATTGATTCATTATTACATTGGCATAGCTATGGGGGTCACAGGGGTGCAATATCCCCAATCAAATAGGCGTCGCCTGACGTTCCTCTTCACCCAACCCATAGTTTATAACCTTGTGACTTTGCATTTTATCCACTAAGTAAGATCATGCCTCTCACAATGATGAGTCCCCCCACTCAAATCATGACCCACACCATGCTACTGCACCATTCACTGTTACATTCTTCTGTTGGAGTGGGTCATTATCTCATTAGAAATGTATCTAATATGTAGAGAATGGATCATGGAGTACACAGTTGGGAGTGATTGGAAATTTGATCACCATATTAAATGCATTTCACATTGGTGCATTCTGTCTGCAAGATTCGAGGAACACGTTCGCTATCTTCTGCTCATATGTTTTATTACATGTAGACACAATAATATTCCATTTCATTGGCTCCAACTTTGTATTCAAATTTAGCTATTGGTGTTTCTCTATTTATAACGACTAAGTTTTTGTAAGTTGGAGAGTGCAAAGATTTTTAATATACACAACCTGAATATAATTTAGTCTCTCTCATGGAACCTCACTTCACTTTATACCTTTAGCTCGACCAATTTTCTGTCTCCCTTGTGCGACACATTTTGATTTTGTTTTCTTTACCTGCAGGGAGAGGAAGGGCCTTACGGAGACCCAGGCCCATCCGGTCCCCCAGGAATCCGAGGAGCACCAGGTTCGAGAGGGCCAGCAGGACCTCAGGGTATTTCAGTAAGTCCATTTTTCATATCATTGCATTTTGGTATCCGTCAAAAGTGTGATTAGGGATTAGAGAAATCTATTCTATTCAGAAATGAATAAATTCAATTATTTTGTTCTCTATGTTGTTATCTTTTGTATACTTGTTGGTAGAGTCTGTGACCTTCTTTACAAGAATTTTAGTTTGATCTGGTTCACTATTAATTGATGAATTGTGAGATATGCTTGCAATTTACATACAAATTTACTTCACATGTATTGTACTTGATCAATGTTGTACACTAACAGACAACCCTAACAAGATTGTACCCATGAATATAGATTGTAGAGCTATATTTGTTTTACCACAAGCAAATGATTACTGCAGTAATGGATTCACATAATGAATATGAAGTCTAGGAATTAAAGTCTACACCCTATGTCTTTGTTACCAGGGACTTGAAGGAGAGCCAGGTGGACCTGGACCAAAAGGACCAGTTGGTCTTCCAGGTGTCGCTGGAGGTCCTGGACCGATGGGCAAACATGGACCTGTGGTAAGGAAACTAGGACTTAAGTCTTTTATGTGGTCTTGAAGATTGTATATGATGGAAACTAGCTTAATATTTTTATTGCAGAGCACCTTTTTATAGAAATGTTATATTTTGACAAATGGTTATCAATCCTTAAAACGTATCAGATTGTCCGAAAAATAATTGGTTATTAAAGTTGAACACTTAATATTTGCAGAAATATGATAAGGAATATGGTTGTAAACATATAAATATTGGTTATTTCACAGCATAGTGTAGTTTGCATGATATAAAAAGCTGGATGAAAAATTCTTGATGAGGGAAAGAATCTACCTGTGGATGGTGCTCTGATTTGCCATCAATTAGTTGTTAATTGTGCGATGTTTCAAAATGTTGTGAAAAATGTAACGAGATGACATTTAATTCAGGGTTGAAAATCTAATATTCCTGAAAAGTCATTACTTGCAAGGTTTATGTCAGCTTAAAAAACTATATCCATCTCTTCTTTCTCTTTCTCCTGTATTTTATTTATAAATCTCTAACTTGATGGTCTCTCCTCAATAGGGTGCAATGGGTCCACAGGGACAGAGTGGGCCACCTGGAGTCCAGGGTCCCGTTGGTAAGCCTGGTATTCCTGGTGTTCCTGGAACTGACGGTCCAGCTGTAAGTATCAATACTTCTTTTATTGAGGTCTACCATGAAATCTGTCAATGAAATACCATAAAACCTGTCTTGAAGAAGCCACAACAGTGAGACACAAAAGTATCATTTTGTTCTATTCATGCTTCAACAGAAGCAAAAAATGTGGCATTTCTATACAGCTTACGCTGAAGCAGGTTGGACTGTAATTCAGATTTAGATGACTAACTTAAACAGTTATATCATAGAATAATTCTTGTAACATGTAAATTGTTTGAACATTTTACAGCTTTTTATCAATACTTCATGTGCCTAAATGCCTGTAGCATTGTTATATACATGTGTTTGAAATTTCAAATCCTTGATAACACCTATAGACATGAATATACAGATATCATTGTAAAGGATTCTAATAACTTTTGAACCAACAGAGTTTTTGACATTGTTTATGTGTTTTCATTAATTCTACATTGAGTAGTCCCTTGGAAATATCTTGGAAAGAATTTCACATGGTGTGTATAGTTTCAGAAGATGATGACATCATGAAGCGATACATAACCTTAAGCCTGTTGCCTTCCATCTAGTGGCAGATTTATGGGGTTATGTGCTGGTTCTCCCCCTCTCCTTTTTTCTAAACCCACTTTGCATACCTTAAGGATGCCCCCATAGATTGTATAATTTTTCTCAATTGTGTACTCCCACCTCCTACCCCCTCCCTCTCCTCTTCCTTAAAAAATATGTGTCATATGCTCCAGTTTTTATTTTTAATTGTTATTGTCTTATCTCTCTTTTATGTGTAGGGTCACCCAGGTCAAGATGGACAGTCTGGCGCCAAGGGATCAATGGTAAGATGATGACAAATTAATAGTTACGATAAACATAACTCTTTCTGATGAGAATTGTATACAGTAAACTGTGGCATTTTTAGGTGTGTGTAAATGAATGGCAAGTGTATGTCATTCTATGTAGGCCTATGTCAGTTTTCTAGAATGTCATGGTTGAAATGTCCCCTGAGAAGCATTTGTCTTCAAATTCCTCAATATTCAAGATATTATCAAAAATAGCTGATAAAACAGACAACCAATCATTGTAGTCCCATATTCCCATTTTCTGTGTGCAGTTTATGTGATTGTCAGCAAAATTAAACGAAGTTCTAGTCATTTTGATCATTCCAAAACTTTCAAAGTATTCATCAATTTTGTATTTACTACCTAATCAATCTTTCCCAATTATTCTCATCCTGCTTCTTATAAAATGTCATTGCCTGACCAGTACACAACTTTATCTTTGAATCAAATCCTAGGGTGCACCAGGATCTATCGGTGTTTCAGGCTACACTGGACCCATGGGAGTGAAAGGAGCTCGAGGAATCTTTGGAAATTCTGGGCAGAAGGGTAACTCAGTAAGTAATAGCCATTTCACTCAATATCTTTCTCTTTCTCATTCTATATCTCACTCTCTCTGTCTCTCTCTCTCTGTCTCTGTATGTCTTTCATTCTTTATTTTACTTCATACCACGTGCTCCCATAGACTCTTTCTGTATCTCAATCTACCTCACAACATGTTGAGGTATCTCTCACTCTAAATCTCATTTTATGTATTTCTGTATCCCTCAATCTATATTTCAATCTGTATCTTGCTCTCTCTATCCTCCCTCCCACCCTCTCTCTCTCTCTCTCTCTCACCCTCTCTCTCTCTCTCTCTCTCTCTCTCACTCTATACATATATCTTGCTTTATACCTTGCTCTATCTCTTATTGTACCTCACTCTTGATATTACTCCCCCTTCTCTCTCTCTCTCTCTCTTTCATTCTACATTCCTTACTCTTCTTACTTCTATATGTTACTCTATCCCATCTATATCTCACCCTATGTATCACTTTATATCTCTATTTTCATTCTTTCTCATCTCTCTCCCCCTTTCTCACTATCTCTCACTATTGCTCTGTATCTATATTTATCTTTTTCTTTATTTCACATTGTATTTTTTGTCCCATATTATTCATCTCTCACTCTGTTAATCTTTTTTTATTCAACTTGTTTTACAGGGTATGGATGGTCTGCCAGGTTTCAAGGGAGAGCTGGGAATGAAAGGAGAAAGGGTAAGCTACTAAAATCCATTCTTGTTACAATTTCTTTTATAACAGTTGAGGAAATTTGGAAAAGGGCATCTCATTAGTTCATTTGGAAGCAGGGAGGGGAGTATGATAAAACAAGTGTACTGGTAATAAGGCTTCGATTTCCATGAGCCAATAGGACCCTCAAATTCTTAGATAGGCTACATGGTAAAAAATGAGTATGTCAAATATTCAATTTTGTTAACAGTTGTTCCTTATTTTCTTTGACCAATATAAAAAGGTGGCCATTAATTTTTCCATTTTGCAAACTAGGCATGAACAAATTTAAGTTTGCTGACGGAAGTTTTGAATGAGGTGCATTATACATCCCGATGTTGGCCTCTGTGCTTTAAAATGATGAGAATAATGTGAATTATGTTGATATTGTGCAATATGAAATATTTTATTCCTGCTGTTTTTATCTGGTATTAGATACAACATTTTTTTTGTATTTGTAAAAGTTATAATTGGTTTCCAAAGATACTTTAATTCTTCACCGATTTGTTGTTGTTGTAGATAATTAGTAAAATACTTACCATCAATATTTAAGAGTACATATTTATCCGCATCACAGAAGTTTGTGTTTGAGGAATTATTTACATGTTTTGAGTTAATCATGCTAATGCGCTTATAATTCTAAACATTGCAATATTATATTCTTGTTAGGTATTTGATAATGTATGATACTAATTTCTGAAAGAATAGTTCTTGTGCTAATTCTGAATATTGTATGTCTTTAAGCAGCAGTAGTATTTTCTGTTTTTCTTTTCTTTTACAGGGACAACTAGGAGTACCAGGTCCTCGAGGATCTGAAGGAATCGGTGGACCCAAGGTAAAATATTCTTTGAGAAAATTCTTCTTTGTAGTCCAACAAAAGGATTGAAATATGATGCATATTCCAGTTTCTGTAAGACCAGTATACAAATTTTATCCTAATTGTAAACAATAGTCACTTGGGCCCATTTTGAGGGGGATTAATAATAGAAGATCATTGTTGTACTAGATATGAGTGCTTTTTGTATTATGGTATGAAACTTTCCTAAACACCAACAAACTTGTTTATACATTACATGCAAAGTGTCAAGAATAACCATTGTTCAATTTTTGTTTTCATAGGGTGAACAAGGTATGCCTGGTGAAGCTGGACCCATTGGCACATATGGAGATCAGGTGGGTGTCTTTTGGTCAATATCTCTCTTTCTTTCTCTCTTTTTTTTGTCTCTCTCTGTCTCCCTCCCAACTATCATTACTTGTATGATGGATATTACAGTGACAAGTGTCAAAGTGGATGTATGAGGTCCCTTAATGAGCTGTACTCATAAACAAGCAAAACCCATAGAACTGTAAAATGTATAGGGTTATAAGCCAAAAAAATGCATTATGCCTTATAGATAATGCATAGACTACATCTGGGTAGTCATAGTCATTTTAAGAATTAAACTGCAGTTGTAGAACATGACAGTCCATCTTTTGTAATGAATGAATGAAAGACTCTTTTGTTGCATATTCTGTATATTTGTTCATTTCGTCCTAAAGCATATACTAAAAAATTGGCAGTAATAGAAACATTGGCAAAGCTATGTCCAATATCTTTGAGTCATTTCTTTTATACATATTGATACATTGTATCTAATTTTTGATTAAACCTACAAAGGATAAGATACAAATGTTCTGCTATGAGTTTAAAGAAGGAGCCTCCTGAGATCCTGTACCCAATGCAAATCCTTGCATTATATTTTTTAAATGAAACTGGTATAAAATATATGTTGTGATAGCCCTGTATCTCTTCCTTTAAGATGTGCAACTAATATTAATTTTCTTTGTGGATGGTCATTTTAGGGTCCACCAGGCCCACCCGGTATCCCCGGTTACCCTGGAAACGTTGGTGAAAAGGTGAGACAAAGTTCATTATAATTATCATATGTAAAAATGTTACTGGGTAGAATCTTCTTTTGCTGATTATCATACGTATCAATGGTACTGGGAAGAATCTTTCCATTTTGATTATCATATGTAGTTGGTAGAATCTTTTTATTGTAGTTATCATGTGTGATAATGGTATTGGGTAAAATAAAATTCATATATGTTATCATCTGTAATAATGGTACTGGGTAGTATCGTTACCTATCTGATTGTCATATGTAATAATGGTGCTGGGTAGAATCTTTTATTTCTAATTATCATATGTTATAATGGTGCTGGGGTAGAATCTTTTCATTAAAATCATTGTATGTGGTAATGGTACTAATTAAAATCTTTTCATTCTATATATCATATGTAATAATGGTATTGGGTAGAATCTTCCTATTCTAATTATCATATGCGGTAATGTAACTGGGGTGGAATCTTTTCATTCTACTTATTATATGTAATAATGGTGCTAGTAGAATTTTTTCATTCTAATTATCATATGTGGTAATGGTACTGGGTGGAATCTTTTCATTCTGATTATCATACGTGATAATAATATGAATTAATTTGTTTTATTTCCTTTACAGGGAGAGTTGGGTCACAGTGGAAAGCGTGGAAGGTCAGGAAGAAAGGGATCAAGGGTAAGTCTTATTTTAAATATTGAACTTATACAAGTAGATAATCTCTCATCATAGAAGAGAGTATTGCAGGATAATAATGCATGGTGTGTGATATGCATTCATTCTGTTTTGAAGGCACATTACCAATAATATATCATGTCTGTGTGGTGTATTGATTCTATTTTATGTGTTTATGTGAATGATACTGGAAAGTATTGATTCTTGTTAATATGTTCTGTATGGCTCAATTGGCTTTTTTTTTTTTTTTTTTTTTTTTTACTTATGTCAATAAAGAAAAATTCATCACAGGACCATTGGTTGATGTTTCTTTTTCCTTGTATAGCAACTTTTATTCAATAACCATATTTAGAGATTTCTTTGGATAAGAGATTTATTATACTAAATACGATGGATAAGATTATCCAAAGCCTCTATGAAGTTGCCCTTAGGAATGACTCATGTGATGTTATCTCTTTGTAGGGTCCATCTGGCATGAGAGGTCCAATTGGACCTGGTGGTCCTATGGGAGGACCTGGATCTCGTGGTCCACAAGGTATTCAAGGAGTCCCTGGTGAATATGTAAGTATAGTACCTTCTAGGTATCTTATAATTGTGCCAAAATATGGTGTCATAGAGAGAGCTTAAACAAAATCTTTTATGTTTTATATAATTTTTAGTGTTTATTTTTAATATTACATCAATAATGTTGATAACATTAATAGAATGGACTGGTTCATGTACATGTGTGGGTAACAAAGTATCCATGGTATGTTCTCTGGTTGCGGAGGTTGATTGAAACATTTTTTAGTTTTAGTACAATATACCTGGTACATGTATGTATTACATCTTCATTGCGCATGCTACCTATGGAAATCAAATAAACCATGTACAATCCAGTCTGCGTACTGCCAAGCATGTTTTGATGAATCCTCTATTGACATGGATTGATTGAAGTCTTTTCATCCTAATTGTCATATCTAATAATGGTACTGGTAAAATCTTTTCATTCTAATTATCATAATGCGATAATGGTACTGGGTGGAATGTTTTCATTCTGATTATCATACGTGATAATATGAATTAGGAATCTGAGTAGATAGATCAATCATGTAATCTATATTTCAGTATGCTTTTTTGTAAAATGTGGGAAAAGACTCGTATGCAGATACTCAATGTTTTATTTTTACCATTTTCTTTTTCTTGACTGCAGGGAGAACAGGGAGAACGTGGACCTCCGGGACCCGTTGGTGACCAGGTGAAACAGCATCATCTAAATAGTCATCTTCAATTTTCATATAAAACATACAGTCATTAAAATTAGATGCAATCGATTATGTTCAGTTTTGTTTTACCCTGTTTATATATAACGAAAATGACACGTGCTAGACTCACCAATTATTCATGAACTTAAATTTGTTTAAATTTTACACTTTCGAGAAGTTGTTGCCTTAGATTTTTTCTCTCTTTTCCTCATACGAGGCATTTTATTACTTTATATTATTTCTAACAACATAGCGTTTAGAATTTGATTACAATATATATATATATATATATATATATATATATAAAATAAACAGGCTGATAAAATGAAATAGAGGAGATGAAAAGAAATTGGAAGGGAAAGATCCAGGCATGAATAGAAATGTGTTAAAGGCTCAACTATGGAAAATACATCTTGATATTACTTATTACTTTTTTTTTGTTTCTGTATTGCCAATTGACATAAAACATGAAGGTCATCCAAATGTGCCTCAGAAAATATTTATGTATTTCTGTTAGATTCATCACATAGAATCCACAATATAGATCACATTCTTTGACAGGGGTTTTAGACTAAAGATGTTGTAATTGAAGTCTGACAAGATATAACACAGTGGATGTACAACACTCAGGAAGTCATTTAAACAGCTATTGATGTGTTTTATCACAATTGATGAAAGAAACTAGAAGAAATTAAACACTTGAACCATTGTTGATTTATTTTTTTTTCTATTTTTTTTCATTCATGTTTAGGGACCACCAGGACAACAAGGACCTCGTGGATTTGCAGGAGGAAAGGGACCTAATGTAAGTCATGTTTTGCTTTATCTCTTATCGCTATTATCATTTGAGGGGGATTGTTTACCCTACTCCTTCAAATGAGTGCAGCATGCAGATTCTGAACCGAGTTGGCAATTATTTCTAGATAAAACCCACTGTGAAAAGCATTTTAAATTGATGGATGGTGCACCAAGGAACATGGATTTAGCCGTAACCTATCTGAGAAATATTTGTACACTTATTCCTATACTGCTGTACAAGGTCTAATGAATTTATTTTGATAATGTCTGAGGATATGCTGGGCTTTTTATGCTGACCTTTGACCTTTGACCTTTTTTCCAGGGACCACCTGGTCAAGATGGTATGCCTGGATTCCCTGGATCTCGTGGAGAGTCTGTAAGTAACCAGCCACTTTTAGAATATGTTTTCTTGAGATCTCCCTTATCTCATTCTTCTTCCTCCTCCTCCTCATCTTCTTCTTCTTCAAATCCAATACAGACCGTCACATGCATATTAATCTAAGTAATACTCTAACTTCAGACTTCTTTGATTTCAATAAATATTCATGTTATTTACTTTCAATTCTAGATTACTGCTAGAGTGCTAGGTTACTGCTTTTTGAATAATGAAATGATATGCAATTAAGATTCAAATAGGTTAATAAAACATTGAGCCATTAAAGCTATTTAAAGACTCTTCTCCCTTTGTTTGTGATGTTTGAGAATTCACCTGTGGATGGATTTTAAAAAAATGTTTCACCATTTTTTAATATCCGTTGTTGTCCCTATCCATTAAATTGTTAAATCCCAAGTTCAATGGTGTAAGGGGGTTGCCAGTGACAGTTTTTGTAGTTATGTCCCTCTTGATAAGAGGTGAATAGATCCTACACACAGGTCCTTCTGTGTAGAATTTGACCATGCTGTGTTGAATATTACCATGCAGTATATTTTCTTTTTCTTAACTAGTATTTACTTTGTCCTTTTCATTTTTATTTTATGATTAAATTTGTAATTTTCATTTTGTGATTGTTTTCAGGGTATGGATGGAGAGTCAGGTACCCCAGGACCTGCTGGTGTGATTGGGCCTCAGGTTAGTATATTCTACTCAGCTCTTCTCTTCTTTTTACACAAACTGAATGGAGAAACATATATAGATAGCAGCGACTGATAAAATAGAAGATTGACCAACCAACAAAGAAACACAAAAGAGATATTCCAGAGGGCTGAATGCTAGAAAATAGCTGAAGACAATGCAAAAGTAAAAAAACTGGAGTGCACCAAAATTGGAAGCTAATTTGACTTTACCGGGCTCCTATGAGTAGTAGTACGAAATATGCTTGTTGCAAGGGCAAACTGTCTCTCAGAAATTACAAATAAAGAAGACATATTTATCATGAGTAGTAAGTGAACCATGGCAGCACTGCCCATAGGAGTTTCTGTGTCACAGACAGTGTCTCGCTTAGTACTTATGACAAGACACTTAACTAAGTCATTGGCAATATGAATATTGAAATATATTAAGTTTCTAGTAAAGATAAAATCTGCTTTATATATTGTGCTTAATACAAATGTCTCTCAGCGCTTTACAAACATACTATAACCCTGGTAATTATTACCTGTTTAATTCTTCAGTAGCAACATTATACATCTTTTTTTTAAATAGATTCAATTTTACCTTCAGAAATTCAATTTAAAATTTCAACAACACCAATCAACTAGTGAGGAGATACATTGCACATGCAATTCCAATTAATTCCTACTACTGTTTGTGAATATACAGTATTATGGTGTAGACCAGCAATCCATCTCATATCCCTACATCTTAATCAAATTGAAGAATGTTTTTGCCTTGTGTAATAGGGTCCTCCAGGAGAACCAGGATCATCAGGACCAACAGGATTCCCTGGACCTCCAGGAAGCCCTGGTGAGGCTGGTCTTCCCGGTAACGATGGACTTACTGGTCCACAGGTAAGATCATCTTCCTCACTGTTCCAGCTAGTCTAGTATGGTTCCTGCCCTTATACGATTCATGGAAGTGCCATGGATGACAGACATGAGTGCTGTACAAGAACCCACTATGACTATTATTATTAACTTCAACCCTAGACCCAACACTGTAACTAACCTTATTCCTGAACCTGACCAAAAGCCTAATTGCCACCTTGACACCAACTCCAGGTTCTGTACAGAATGATGACGAAAGAAAGAAACGGATGAAAAGGGAAATCATTCTTTGACTCCAATAATGAGGGTTTTTTTAAAAGTATAATTTGAATAAAAGGAAATAAAACGCTAGTTTTAGTATTATATGAATGATCTGTCATCATTATGCCCAATTAAAGGCCCACTGCACTACTTGTAGCTACTTGCGCCCCCTATATATCAAACAATGCCTAATCGGTGACCATTGGTCCCCCATAACCCTCTTTTTCTTATGTTAACTGAGAGCGGAGTTGATGAGATAACCACCTGTCCAGTGACCTTGCAGGGCGGTCTAATCCCTCCTGTAAACTATGGCAGATAAGCTTTAAGTACATGTTTGTTGAGATTCATGAACTGACTGTATGTTTCTGGCCTCCTTTCTTGTCTTGTTTAGGGTGTGAGCGGTCCCGTAGGTCCACCAGGTATCCAAGGACCTGAGGGAGCAAGAGGTTTCTCAGGAGAACGTGGATTGAGAGGAGAACAGGTGAGTTTCTATCTACCATTCAATCATTCTATTTCACCATACTTTTGTATCAATCTCTTATTTGTGAGGAGTAGGCCTACTGCGACATACTTCAATTTGTATATGGTATTTATAGAAGTTTGTTAACTTGGTGGATCTTATAGATTATATAACTGGATTAATGTAGCACCTTTTCCACAGGATACAACGGTATTAATCATATTAAAGACTTTGGCATATTCTGATTCGGATGGAGATGGACATGCATACCTGTTTCCGAGAACAAAAGTGGCCTCTGTGTCCCATCATGTAGAGATATATAAAGTTATTTAATAGCTTTCAGAATTGTGTGTTCATACTTATCATTTGTAATATATTTTATTTGAGACTTCAATTTTTTTTTGATAGACACATAACACATTTTTGAAACTGTAAGTTGTTTTCAGGATTTTATCAATTTCAACACTTTCTCTTTTTTACTTGCAGGGTATTGAAGGAATGAAGGGAGAGGATGGTCCTCCTGGACAATCGGGTCCTCCGGTAAGTACAAACAACCTGCTTGTTAGTAGGATGAGCAAGGTTAAAGGTCAACATATGGACCACATTAGGTCAAGCTAGGGTCAAATCAACTGTGAGGATTATTGAAATATAAAAGATGAATGAAAATGTTGTTACCTAGCTTTTGTTTAGATTATAGACACATAATTGTATATATACCTCATCTAAATAATTCAAAATGGCATTTTATAAACATCCTAAACCAATGATTTTTCTTTCTGTGAGCCTCTCCTCTCACTACAAATACAATTGTGCAAAGAAACAGTTTGATATTTTTATGATGATGTCTGATGTTTGATTTCTTTTTTCTTTTCTTTGTTTCGTGATTGCAGGGTGTTCAAGGTCAACTTGGGCCCCCAGGACCACCAGGAGGAGTTGGTCTACCGGTGAGCATACCCCATTCATTACCCCCTTCATCAAATCCTCAACTCCTCATGTTGCCACCAGAGCCTTGTTTCACAAAACTTGTCATCAGTAACAAATGACAGTCTTTGTTATGAGCTACTGAAATCATTGCTTCTGATTGGTTATCAGCAGATTTGTCGCTGACTTTTGTCATTTGTCATTAACAAAAGGCTTTGTGAAATGGGTACCAGATGATCAAACATGTTTGGAAAAGACTATTTCAGGAGACAGGTTTCTAATCATATTGCCTTCTCTGTTGTTCATCGTCATGAAAATGAAACAGCGTTCACTGATCAACACAAACCTGATATTTCCTGAACCCACATTGATTTTTAAGAAAACAAAACAAGCTTTTATTGGTCTAAAATATTGAACGAATTATCTAAATCAGAATCCTCCCCCCCCCCCTCTTACAATATCCAGGATCCACTTTAAAAAAATCTATGTATCCAATAGTGACTTAGCTTACTGACAATGTTTTTGTTTTCTTGTGTTACAGGGTCGCCCTGGAGATCAAGGACCAATCGGACCTTCAGGAGAAAGGGGTGATGCGGTAAGTCTCAATTAGTGTTCTGAGTTGAAATATTTGGTCAAACACTAGTTTTCCTTATGGTCATTTTGTTCTCAACTTTAAATGTACTGTTGTCATTATGTTCTTTTTCCAAAGCCAATGTTATATTTTGTAAACTTTTATTATTAAAGTAGAAACCCAGATAATTGAACATTTAGTCTCCAATTACAACATCCACCAGGCTCCCAATGGTTTTGAAGGTTAAACAAAACTTGACAATAGCACAGTGTATGTGGCTTTCAAGCAGCCTTTCCATTTTACTGATCTTTACAGAAGTTGACAACGGCACAAAGGAATTAATGAATGAAGTAGAATTTCTCTTAGCTAGTTATTATATGTGATTGATAAATATAGAATTGATATGTTTAGAGAGAGATAACAGTGATTAATTACTTCATTCGTTGAGGTTGTTTATTGTACACCACTGACCACTATAGTGCTGCTGCGCCTCACCTCTTAACATTACCGTATACAAGGCACTAGATTTGTTTTGAATATCCTCTTAAGAACTAGTTCTTAGTATTCCCTCTTTCTGTTATTCATTCCTATACATATTCACTCTTTGCATTGAAAGTGAATGAATGATTGAAAATAGTTACGTTTTTTCTTTTCTGTTGTAGGGAGAGGAGGGTTCTATGGGACCTGCTGGTCGTGATGGTATGCCAGGTCCAAGAGTAAGTTATCTGTGACTCTCAATTCGTCATTAGTCATTTTAATCATTTGTGACTCACACAATACGTGTCTACCTAATCTGAATAACTACCATGTTTTTTAGTTTTTTCTTCAATGATTTGTATCTTTTCACATTATCCGCAGTGCACAGACGATTCATCAGGTTAAGTTTTGAGCTTTTCATATAATGCTCTCCTTTTCTTTGTATGCGTTTGTCATAATGGCTCTGTTTCTTGATCGCTGAAATATCAATGAAGCGATGTACCAACCAATCAGAATTTTCAGTGAATTGTTATTGTTATTGGGTGAATTTATAACAAATTAAGTGATTATATGAATGATTGAACAAGTGTCCGACTGATGATTGATCAGAGAACTTACTGTAAAGTTGATTGTTTGATCAGTCGATTAAAAATATAATATTGATATATTGATTCGTTGACTTATTAATAACGGGGGAATGGAGGATGGTTTTTGCTGTACAACTACTGCTTGATTGATTCACTCTTTCATTAGACTTCACATGTATATTGGCACTAAGAAATACCATCATCTCTTTATTAGCTACAGCTCCATGCATCTGAAAGTGTGTTCACACATTATATATTCACTGTCTGATTCAACGCTGAAGCACATTATAAGCTCCAATCAAACTCCATGCTTGAGAGTTGGGCTACATTATGGCTGTCATATTGGTTGGCATACAAGGGTCAAGCACTAATCTGATGTATCTTTGTATCCAGGGACCCCCAGGACCCATCGGCCAGCCGGGCCCACAGGGTCCAGAGGGAGAAAGAGGAGACAGTGGACCAATTGGAATCAAGGGAACCAAGGGAGAGCGAGGCGAAGGGGTGAGTTCTATTAACTTGTGGGATATTATTTGACTTTGGTATAACAAATGTCTCCAATGAATTATATCTATATCATGCTTTATATTCAGTTGTCTCAATGTGCAATTACACTTTACATAATTCCAAGTCCCTTGCCTGTATAAAGTCAACATTATGCTACTAAATATAATCATCTGGACAAATACGTCATGCTCTCCCCTTTTCAGTTATGGTATGCTGCCCTCTTGAGGGCTCGTTGTGTACAACCAGTGTTGTTTTGTGTAATCATGGTGAAGTGCACCCAATCCATAATTAAATGATTTTTCTAAGTGTAATGATAATGGTTTGAATGTCTTCGTTCATATAATGGTGGCAGCGGTGGGATCGAACCCTTGCTATTGAAATGACTGAATCCACAGATCGTGTTGCCACATTATGAAACTTGTTTAAGAAAATGGATATGCACATTCCATTACCTAAATGTTTACATTGCCCATCGTTAAAGGAGATGCTTTAGAACACGTCCAATGTGCATTAATTGATCAAGAGGTACATTTTGAGTGTATTTTTTCTAGAAGGAATGAGTGAAAGAAATTTAAAGCAATAAATATAGAGATATAACAGGAAATGAACTGAAACACAAATTTCAGTTCTGTTTCATTATTGATTCGACAACTGAAATGAATGTTTAAGTAAGTATGACAAGTTGTTTTAGGTTAGAATTTAGGTAATATACTTTGTCTGAAGTAGTTATGAAACATATATTTCATGTAATATAGCAGTTATAGAAGTACACTCACAAATTGTGTTACTTTAAAAAATGGTTTCCTTCACCGGTTTTGTATTAGGGTAATTTTACAATCGAGTGTGCATGCCTCAATTAAAATAAGTGATTAATGTTTGTTGCTAACAAGCTTCTACTTTCCAGGTTCACAATTCAGGTATTTCAAATGTCTTTCATTTATCATGACTCAATTTCTTTATAGAAATCAGTACCTTAACTTATGGGGTCGGACATTTTCCCCATTAGCCAGTAATGTTTAGATGATGTCTAATTTCAAACAAGATAGCTAAATAGGAGATCTCTTCTTTAAGAAAAAAGTAAATTCTGATTTTTAAAAAAATCTGCAAGCATTTATTCTTTTACATAATTGCAACCAATCAAGAATCATTTAAATTGTTAGTAGTATAATAAATGACTTGATTAGGATATTTGAGGTTTACTCTTTCAATATATTAATTTTGTGCAGCTACAATTATTTCATCATGACCAGTTCGCTGTCTTTGGTCATGAGCTTAATCTTAAAGCTACAGTATCAAAATGAGTTATTCCATTACTGATGAAATGATCAAATGACTTTGGCTCATTATACATTTTATTTCTATTTCAGGGACCACCCGGTCCACCAGGCGAAAGAGGACCACTTGGAGAATCTGGACCACCCGTAAGTCAACCTTCCTCCATCTTTATATGTCCTATTCCCCTTACCGGACATTCTGCTCCTCTCTCTCTCTCTCTTTATCTCTCAACTCGCACCCATTTCTGTATCCTCTTTCCGGCCTTAGCCCTCCTATTCTGTCCCTGTTCCCCTTTCATATATGCTATTCACCTTACTCTCCCCTTGAAGCAGTCCTGATCCAATCATTTTTGAGGTAATGAAAATAATGTCCAAAATTTCTTTTTTAGTACTTCTATTCATTTGACAAGTTTCTGAAAAGAGCTTGTTCTTTTCCAACATTATCTTTTGCCTCTTCTTTCATATTCTACTGCTCTAATTGTACTTTATCATATTCTGAATGAGTAATAATTTCTCCTGTGAGTAATCTGATTACAATAGTAATAGTACTGGTTTTAGTTTATTTAGCACATTGTCCTGGATACAAAACACTATGAGATGACATCTTTAGGTCAGCACTGGAGGATATGGAGTAATATACAAATTACAAAGCAGTGTCAGTGTGAGTTCAATACTAAACATAATTTGCATCATTTGATGTTGAATGTTTTGTTTGTTTAATCTTGATGTTGCTCAGGGAGACGATGGAGAGCAAGGTATTCCAGGCCAGTCAGGACCCCGTGGACCGAAGGGAGAAGAAGGGTCAGGAGGTAACCCAGGTGCTCCAGGACCTATCGGTTTACAGGTAAAGAAACTTTTATCATCATAGAACATCACTTCTTTAAAGTGAAAAATTAAATACTTCAATTATTTCTTGGTGGAAAGCTTTTAAGCCATAGATTACAATAATATCAGTTATATGCTATTAATCAGTGTCTGTCAGAGGAGAAACAACTCTGTGCCAACTCGAAATCTAAAGCTTTGAAAATCAGAAGTTGTCGACCTAAATATAATTGATGACAGCATCTTATGTAGAGTACACATTCACAATGACGTTGCTTGATAAGCACGGCTCATCACCTCAGTTATCTAGACCAAGACGATCAGGTCCACATGTTATGTCATCACTGTAACTGCAGGCAAGTTTTCCCCTGTTGACATTTGGAGGGGTGCAGAAAATGAGGTTTTAATTTGGTTTTGTGCACTATAGAAAGGGTAAATCATTTCATCAGAAATGAGCTTTGAGGATATCAATTCTCAACAAAGAAGATCAATGTAAGGACAATACTTACATCATTGATGTTGGATCACCTCATACGTTTCAGATAATTTACATGTAGGTAGTGAGATAGCAGACAGCAAATAATTCTGTTTTTATTTCATTCAAATGTATAACAAGTGATAATAGGTTCATTTTTTACATGTTTTATTGATATATATTATACTGTTTATCTCCTTCTCCATATAGGGTATGCCTGGTCCTTCTGGTAGTAAGGGAGAAACTGGAGATCCTGGTCTAACAGTAAGTTCTTAATCATATCTTCTCACAAAATAATTGTGTTTTGTATAAAATATTTATAACAGGTTTGATTCCAATAACAAGGCTTCTATATTTGTCTATTTTGGCCTGTGCTTTTTGTAAAGCCCTTTTTAGGTTTATACACACATATATGAGGTATGAGAGTTTTATCGTTTTTACTGAATGGAGAAATATAAAATATATTCATATATGCATATGCATACAAATTATTAACAACAAATCCAACAAATTTATCAAGAAGATAAAACAGTCTTAGCTGATTCATTGATTATTTCTCTCATCTTCCTTAAACATCTTTAAGATGTGTTAAAGTGATGTGTGGCTTGATGGAAAATTCTTCGTTCTAAGGCAGTGATTTTCTTCTTTTTTCTTTATAGGGAGCTCCAGGTCCACAGGGTAACCCAGGAAAACGTGGATCTACTGGAAGTCAGGTTAGTCCAGGTCATGTGATCTATCATGTGACCAATTATATAACTATTTCATGCTGAGGTCATGTGATCTATCATATGACCTATTGTATAACTATTTCATGCTGTGTAATTCAATATATTGAATGGTCAAATTCAGAATTTTCACTGAGGGGAGTGAATATACATGTATGTTTTAACAGATGATGAACTTGTTATTCTACCATGGGGATATATGCAATATCTTGACCTCTTTCCTCTCACTTTATCCTTCTTGATTTGATTTAGGGTTTAGCATAAGCATTAAATGTGTACAGCAAAGACAACTACTATTTGCTTGGCCTATGAGATAGCAGTTGGAAATATATAAACTTTACTTCTTTTTTTTATCTGTAGTTATTTGTGTGTGTTGCAAAGATAGATTATTGTATATAGAGGGATCTCTTCTTTGTGGTATGAGGTTTACCCTTACCCTTACGCTAATAGGCTATAAGAGCAATGCATTTAATAAGTCCATGATATATATTTTAAGAAGACAATCTGGAGGAACTGCTTTGAAAGGAATATTAATGTATTATTTTCTTCAAAATAACATAGTAGACAATATGGCCAAAATGCTATACATTTATATGCGTAGGGTATTTATTATTAATCATGTGAAATTCTAGAAATTACTTTGATGTTGCATTACACATGGCTTTTCTTATCGTTTTACTTTCAGGGTATCCAAGGGCAACCAGGACCCCGTGGTGACAATGGAGCAGGCGGTTTGAAGGTAAGAATTTTTCATCCACCGATGGCCAGAAGGGCACTAACTCATTCTTTATCACATGGTTTATGCCCTTTTGGCTCTGAACGTATGATTTATAATGCCTTAGATTGGTAAGCTAAGTCATTGAGAGTGCTTACACATAATGATCCATTCAGTGAATATAGATGTTTTAGTACTGACACTTGATTCTGAAAAAAATTAATTTATCAGAATTGTATGACTTGTTTCTAATTTTGTTGTGCTGGTGTAATTATTATTATTTGCAGTTGACAACTTATGCTTACATCAGACATCTTATCATTTGAATCAGAGTCTGTCATTAATGGTAGCAATTTAAGTATTGATTTTATTTTTGGGGACATTACAGATTATGGACTATAGTTGATATGTTTATTAAAAGCCCAAAGGAGCAATGTGGAATATGACACACTCACACATTTTGCTGTTGTGTCCATGAAACTATTCTATATGTCAGCAAATATACTTTGCAAATGTTATGTAAACGTTGATGCCTTATAAATTTCACCCTTTTTGGTTCTGTGAATGTTGATCAGAGCCGTCTCAGAGCTAGGTTATGATCTTAATGGTCTAATCATCATTTCCTTTTCTTTTGTTTTACTCTTTCAGGGAGACAAAGGAGATCCTGGTCCAAATGGAAGAACAGGCAGAGATGGACCCAGGGTAAGTATTCCTAGCATTTTACAGTCAACACATTCTTCATTCAAGATTGCAGATTTACACATTGACTGGCATAAAATTATTCATCTTTATAACAATTAAACCCCTGTGCAACACTAAAATACAGGATATTTAGACTGCAAAACACCCCTTGTAGAGCATATTTTTTTTAATGTTAAGCTATGGTCACAAATCAGAGCAGCGACCGACCGATCAGTAGCCTGCTCGGTCGCTGCTGGAATTAAGCATCGCCCAGCAATTAGGTCGGTGCCCGGGCGGCGACCGCCCAGGCACCGAGCGTATTTTGGGCGGCGAGTAAAAAATGAGCAGGCGCCGCCCAAATTTTAACTCCGCGCTAAAACTTCAGCGGCGACCGAGCGATGCCCTAAAATCGAGCGGTGCCTGGGCGGCCGCCGCCGGGCAAAATTGGTTAAAAACTCGCCGCTCGGCCGCCGAGCAGGCTACTTTTGGGTAATGTGACCATAGCATAAGCAATGCTTTACACTATCACATTTTGTCCGAAGAGTCTGGAACAACATATTTTGGGTCATATATATTTCAGGTGTTTGTAAATCTTTTGACATTTCTGGTTCAAGTGAAATTTTGGGATTTATAAGGGTGCCATGTCCCTTTTGGGGTCAATCATGGATTTTAGCTTTTATTCCTTTTTTTTTTTTTAAGTCACAAAATGTTAACTTTTTTTTATCAAGGGATGGATTGTGATATCAGTCTTGTACTTGTCAATAAAATGCAAACATTGATGAATTATCGACCATTTTATTTTTGCACCTTGCTTCTAATTCTGGTTCTAATAAGTTTGGTTCTACATACAAATTTTGTTCCTTCTAGGGCTTCAAAGGTGATTCAGGTGTCAAGGGTGAACCTGGTTCAACTGGTCTCCCTGGTAACCCAGGACCACGCGGTATTGAGGGACCTTCTGGACCCAAAGGAAACCAGGTAGGTGCATTCTTCTGAAAAACTCTGAAAATGGTGTAAAGTAGCTCAAAAACCGTTTCTTTATGAATTAGTGCAATAGCTTTTAGAGATATTTTGTATGTGATACTTTCTTGTTTTGTTTCCATTTGCATATTAGCTTAAACATCCAGTGAAGAAAATAATATTGTGCTTTGTAAAAATGTGTCTTAGGCCCATAATATTATGTTTCAAAGTAAAGATTGATTTTGCTCAACTGTGGAGTTTCTTTGTATGTTCAATACATAGCAACTTTCCCAACGTTTTACCATGACCTTTTATGATACTAAGCTTATTTTTAACCAAGAGTAATCATTCCTGGATTGTTCTATTAAGTTTCATACACAACTCTCATTTGCTAATACATTGCTTTTCCTCGTTACAGGGTCCACTTGGATTCCCAGGAGAACTTGGTCTACCAGGACCAGAAGGAGTACCGGTGAGTAGACTAGACCAGAGCTCATAAAATCTTTGGCCAGTATTAATTTAGTAAAAATACAATGCTGTGTCTATAATAATGATAATAATAATAATAAATTTATATAGCGCTTTTTAAGTGCTTTACAAAGCTACACAAGAAATAGATTTGACTCAAATAATAGTAGAACAAATACAATGTAATAGAATGCAATACTTAATTTAGACAAATTAATAAGGTTTTTAGACAATTTTTGAACTGATTAGTGGACAAAGTTTTACGAAGTTTGAGAGGAAGAGAGTTCCACAATGTTGGGGCAATGGAGTTCAATGCAAGGTCCCCGTCGTATTTCGTGTTTTACCTTGGCAGTTGTTTACGTCCTTAGAACAAAGATTTCTTGAGGGTATGTACTGTTACTAATTTTGGAAATGTATGCTATTAGAGTTATGGTAGGATAATACTTGTGTGGCACATCTGTTGTGATTTTATGCTATACCAAATTAACTATTCTAATTATCCTATCGAGCCCATTGTAATTTTCATTGTGCTTTCTATAAATCTGAAGAAGATACATGTTGTATCTTGTATTTTACAATTGTTTAGTAAATGGGGTGCGAACAACCATTTCAGTTTAATTATTATTGCAGATTTAAGAACATTTCATTATCTCATTCCTTTATTATGCTATTGATCGTCTTCCCAATCATCAATGGACATGAAAGCAGGTTGATATCATTGATTTATTTTCATTTTGTTTGTAGGGAACCATTGGTGAGCCAGGACAATCAGGATCTGATGGAGACCCAGGACCAATTGTAAGTGTTGTGTGTGATGTGGTAAAGATTGATGAGGATGTGGGATTGATGTTGGTGTTCACACTTGTACAAGCATTACTTTTAGTTTCCAATATGTATTTCTACATTTGTTGTAAATGTTTTTAATTGATTTTAATGGTTTTTTTAAAAAATTTACCTTGAAAAATTGAACTAGATTGAACTAGATGCAATTAAATGATGATATTGATGGTGGCAATAATGATGATGGTAATGGTGATGATGATAAATTATAAGGGCAGTGGCTATGATGGTGATGAGGAGGATGGTGGTGGTGGTGTTGATGATGATGATGACGATGATGATGAAAACAGTGGTGATGATGGGGATGGTGATGTTGTGATAATATCTTATTAGATCTTATGGCAACTAAAGTGATGAGAAAGATGCATGTGAAAACGAAACTGTAATGCGATGGTGGCACCAATCAACCAGGGAGGCTTGCTATCCTCTTTCTCAAATACAAACCTTATCTTTTTCTTTCTCTTTCTCCAGGGTATGCAAGGAATATCTGGTGATCCAGGCAGACCAGGACCTCGTGGAAGACCGGTAAGAGGCTTTCTTATATTGAGCAGGTTTTTATTAATATTTTAAGTTATTATCTATTTAATCCCTGTCTCCTGTAAGAACAAGATTTTTAGCATTTTTTTTCTCATAAAGAATTCCAAGCGTTTAATGACTCTTTGATTAATTTCATTGTTCAATAGGGCATTAAATATCTCCCATGGAATAAACTTCACAATTTAATGTACTCGTCTAAGGAAGAAAAATGTAACAATTCTCTCTCAAATTTCATCATGGTCTTACCCATCAAGTTCAATGTTATCCAGTTCTTAAACAGGATTTGGTTTCCTGCAGCATGGACCGGGTACAGAGAGATTGGTTCAAGACACACTATGTACAGACCCGCAGTCCTGCAGTAACTAAATAACAAATAAATGATTAAGTGGCCCAAACATGTGAATCAATGTATGCAGCTCTTTTCTTACTGCTAGGAAAAGGTGCTATATCAAACACATTTTGGACTGGATTGTATCGAATCGAATCGATTTGAATTGATTGCTCAATATTTAACTTGTTTTTATTCGGGTTACCAGGGTACCCCTGGCTCACAAGGTCCTTCAGGAAGAGAGGGTCCTAAGGGAGACCCAGGTGAAGATGGTCCTCCTGGTCTACGTGGAGATCCTGGTCCATCTGGTGACAATGTAAGTATTTTCATCAACAAAAAAATTGCCACATCTCTCCTGGCAGAATTATTTTTTAAACAGATATTTTACACATATTAGGAGGCTTCCTGCATTATGATATTGCAAAAATGTAATCTAACAGTAGTTTAATTCTTCAAAAAAAACCAAAATGAATCACTAGGATTTGAATATACTCATTCAATTTTCTAATCCTATTGATGCTGGTTGTCTATCATTAGGAATCAATGAAAAAGCATATTACTAAGCTCCTGCAAAGGCAGAAACTTGTTTGTGAATGGCTGCTGTTTATGCAGCAAGACAGTGTGTCCAATGGCAGAAAAAAAGACTGTTTTGATAAAATCGTTTTATATTTGCAGATTAATGAAGGAATCATGCTTAAACCATTGGTTTGTGTAGTATATTATCATATATCTTGATGAATACCATGCATTTTGAGCTGCTGAAGAACAGTCTTTGCCTAACACCTGTTAGACTGTGTTGAAAGTGAAATAAAAATGAATATTAAAAGAAGAAACCAAACTGAATGTATTGATATTACTCTGTCCTTTAGCTATAACTTATATTTGTATTTGCTTTCCTCTATCGCTGATGATTTCATTATACTTTATTTTCTTTGGTGACAGGGTCCACAAGGTCCTCAAGGACCACCCGGATTAAGAGGTCTCCCTGGACCAGAGGTAAGCATTTAGGACTATATCGGTAGAACTTGTAGATAAAGGGGCAGAACCAGCCCCCCCTCCCCTATTTTAATTGCCAATTGGCATACATAAAGTACACAATCCCCAAAGTTGCCCATTTAATTTCAGTTTTCTTCTTCATCTAACAAGGTCGTGAAAACTGTGATAACCTATTTCTTGCTTGTCAAATATTGTGTGCAATTTACCCCCCCCCCCCCTACAAAATCTGTAGCTTTCTCTCCTCATGTACATCCATTCAACCTTTTTCATACTTTGAACTCATTTTGTTCATGAAATGCTTATGTACTACAGTGATGTCAAAGCAAGTAGCAACGTAACTAGCGCCTTATCCACTAAAGATGCGTTTATCCTGAGTACAGAATGATTGTCCCCATTTCAGTGCAAAAGCCCCCTCAATTTAATTCTCTTCAAACTTCAAACTTCAAAATATAGATTGCCATACAATCTTTATGATGGATTGTAGTTCATGACATTCCTAATTCATTGTTTTGCATGGAATGCTGAAAACATGATAGGGCATTAGGTCATTGGTCAATTCTCTATTAAAATGCTTAATGTGAACCATTGCCTTTTGTTTCTTCTTTGACGCTCTCTTTCTTGTTCTTGTCTTATCCACTAAAGATGCGTTTATCCTGAGTACAGAATGATTGTCTCTATTTCAGTGCAAAAGCCCCCTCAATTTAATTCTCTTCAAACTTCAAACTTCAAAATATAGATTGCCATACAATCTTTATGATGGATTGTAGTTCATGACATTCCTAATTCATTGTTTTGCATGGAATGCTGAAAACATGATAGGGCATTAGCTTATTGGTCAATTCTCTATTAAAATGCTTAATGTGAACCATTGCCTTTTGTTTCTTCTTTGACGCTCTCTTTCTTGTTCTTGTCTTTTTTTCTTCCTTCCCCTATTCCTATCCCCTTCTCATGTATATTTCCATCTCATCTGTCTCTATCCCCCTTCCCCTCTCTATCTCTCTTTCTCTCCCTCTCCCTCTCATCTCTCCTCTCTCCTCTTTTTCTTCTGGTTTCTAGGGCAACCCAGGAGAACCAGGACCTCCAGGCGCACCTGGAGCACAAGGTCAAGTTGTAAGTATTGCCAAGAACAACATTTGAATATGTTAGCAAACCTGTTTTATTGTAAAGCAGCCCTATGCAGTTTATTACAGTATACACTCTGCTGCACCCTTCTCTCCATTGCAGCAGGGATGTTTATTCTGTTTATTCTCTTTTAAAAAAAATTTATCCATTAATTTCAGTCCTCCATGTCGGTAACGATTCTTACATGTATACATATAATATGACACCAAAGAACCTCAGTTTTTGAATGGCAAAAGAACACCAAAACAGAAATATGTTGAGAAGTACTGTATCATCAGTTATGTCTTGGTGATATTGTTTCATGATGATTGTGAAATACTTGGAAATTATTTCCCATTAACTATCTCCTGGTAATAGTACTGTGTAAACTTTTGTATGGTGTCCAGTTCTCTATTTTCTTCTGTCTTTCTCTGTTGATTGAAAGTAATAGGTGTGTTTGTTATTCCTTTGCTGATGAGTTACTGTTGAATGTTAGTGTGATAAAGTATTGAATTGTGGCATTGTAAAGTCTTAAGGATATGTTAAAGGAATCATGAATCAGTATTGAGGCTTTGAAAGCTCAGATGCCAACTGTTTTCTGTAGAACACTTTCATTATGTTATTATTTATTTCAACAAGCATATTGTCAGCTAAAGATATAAAGATATTAACATATAATCAAAAGCAGAAACTTCAAATTGATATTATAATCTCGTCTTTTCTCATATTTTGTTATAGGGAATCCAAGGACCTACTGGAGCCCAAGGTGACCCAGGCCCACTTGGACCTAAGGTAAAATTATTTATCATTTATTCCTTTTCTTTCTCTTAATCATTTTTAAGCAACTCTGTCTGTATTTTATTATTCATCTCATTCTATACTCTGTATCATATTGCAGCTGATAGTACAAATGCATTAACGTTGTGTTTAGGAAATGAATTTAACACTATTCTAGCTTTCTGCAGATGATTTGAGTCATGAACCTTTCTCTTGGGAAAGATATCTCCTTTCTTGGTTGCAGAAAACGTTGACTGTATTTGATGAGTCAGACTACACATTTCAACTCTGCACTGTTCTGACAGTCCATTATTGTCATCATTTCGACTTCTCTTACATAAATATGATGATAACTACCCTCATTTCTGTGATATCCTGACTCAGTGAGCCTATGTTTAATAACCTGTAACCTACAGAAACTGGATAGTTTATGTACTAAGCTTATGGGGATAACAAAATTCAGTAGTAAATGGGTTAAAGGTACTATGTCCCATTTGCAGGCCAAAAAAATGAAAAAGTTAAATTCCAACTGCATTTGAAAGATAATACTAATTTAGAACTTCCCTAAAAAAGTGGGGCTTGAAAATGTCTTCAAAAGGGAAAATAACGACTATTAGTTGTCACTTTAGGGCTATAGAGCCCAAAACTAATAGTCTTGATTTTCAGACAATTATACCGAATGGTCATACGTTTTATGCTGCGCAAAGATTCAATCAGTTTAATCTTGGCCATCACAAGAAGTGGGTTATTGATGTAGACAAATGCTCATGTACCCTTTACAACTCTTTTCATGTATGTTATTACCAAAGAGAAAAAAAAGCCAGTCCGTCACTCAATAGTGTCTGACAGTGAAGTCTAGCAAGTAAACAGGTTTCCTTGCATAATTTGAATATGAGGACACTGCTAACATTTAAATTTCACAGGTAGGACATACATGACATATTCATAATTCCTGCAAAGTTTTACAGAATTTGAGGTTGGCTGCAAAATGGACATAGTACCTTTAAGATATGTGTTAAACAACCCCATAGAGCATCAAATGTACTGTGGGTTTTTTCTCCTTCTTTTTTTTCTAATTTTAATTTTTGTCATTGTAGCTGAAGTGAAGACATCGTATGCTAATGAGGATCATTCTTTTAAATTGTTGACCAGTTACCTGCAACTAAAAAGGTGCTACTGTATGTAAAAACAGTTTTTTTGTTGTTACATTGTTGAACTGTGGTAGCTGCTTGACAAAAAAACCAAAGTACAAAACTTACAGGGATCAGTCTCTGATGTGGACTCTGTGACATTTTGTTGTGTCTTTGCTTAATTATTTGGAATCGTTTGTCTGATTTGACAGGGAGATCGTGGATTCCTTGGCCGAACTGGAGAGGTTGGAATAATGGGAGAGAAGGGAGACAAGGGAAGCCAAGGAGAAGGTGGTCCTCAGGGACCCAAGGGAGACCCTGTAAGTGTTAATTTATTTACTTATTTTTCATCTTTTCTTCATTCCGAGTAGCCAAACAGTTATTTTAAACAATGTGGGCCCTGCACATAAAAAACACATTTATGATATAACAAAACATGACTATTGAAGTGATCGCATGCAAAGGTTGATACATGAATATCAATTAGCATTACAAGATTGAAACAAACTATGAATACATTCCATCTTTTGAATAGTCTTTCTTTTCCAATTTTAAATAAAATGCCTTTGATAATGATACCTTTTTAAAAGAAGAAGTAAAGGGCTGCTTATCTAGTAATAGCGAACAATATGTACCACATTTACTGTTAACCTTCTTCATAAGGGAAGAGTAATTTTTTTAAATGTGGGATAGGGGAATGGATGTCAAAGGATTAACCGTCTTTGGGGTAGTTCATTCTTTTCAGGGTAGTTAGTTGTACTAGGGTTGGGGAGTGTTGGGGGGGGGGGGGGTGGGGTGGGGGGGGGGGGAGTTGTCTGTTAGACATATTGGATAGTTATTGTAAAATGCTAGTTGATAGTTTGAAGGATATTTGTAACCAAATAAGGCTTTGAAAATCAAGGCAATTAGATTATACATTGTGAAATATGTGGATATTGTGTTATTCTTCATATCTATAACATTACTTCACATACTTTTGCTTGTCTAATTTTTCTCCATTTCTTCGTTTTTGATTGACAGGGTTCTGAAGGGCCACGTGGTGTGATGGGACCTGAAGGACCACCCGGTCTACCGGTAAGTCGAAGAAATATAAACTCTCATATTCTCATTTTCTTATTTATATTGCCTCTTTCCATCTAAAAACAAGGAGCTTACTGTGTAAAAATCATTTTGTATGGCCGCTGTCCTCAACACTCTGTGAAGATTTTGGGGTTTTATCGTGTATGAGGTCGAGATAATGTCTCCGTTGATGTAGTAAATGTCTCAAGTTATTATTATTTTTATTATTGTTATTGTTTGTCGTATTGTTATTGAAATTATCATCATTCATGAAATTCTCTTAATTTCTTTTTTTGTCTTCATCATCTGTAGAAGATGTAGTAGTAGTTTTTTTTCTTTGCCTCATCAGAGAGAAGTAGTAGTAGTAGTAGTAGAAGTTTTTGTAGTAGAAGTAGTTGTAGTAGTAGTTGGAGTAGAAGTGGTAGTAGTAATAGTCGTAGCAGTAGTAGCAGTAACAGTAGTAGTAGAAGTAGTAGAAGTAGTGATTTCATTGTTAATATATGTATTTATTACAGAGATTCAAGATGTTTTGTTTTCTTATATTTGTTGACAGGGTAGAGATGGTTTATCTGGAGCTAAGGGAGAGCGAGGAGACTTCGGTGTGGTTGGAGATAGGGGAGCACCAGTAAGTTTCAAACATCATCATTTTCACATAATACCTTTCATGAATCCTCCCCCTCCCAATTCCTACACCCATATTCAGTTGATGCTTTTATATCTAAACCTTTCCCGAAGAGAATTTCTCTCAAATGTCAGTGTATTTCTTCATACTCCTGCAATTGAATAAGTAACTTTTATAATATGTGTACATTCAATTCCTCAATCTCAAACATTTCAAAGTGATGAATGTTTTGGAAATGGCTAGGATTGACAGCGGATGACAAATCTGTTGCTGTAAGACATATTTCTATTGATTTTTGATAATTTTGTCTAAAGTCATCTAAAACTACACATGAAATATTGGAAGAGTGAACATTTGTATGAAGTACATGTTATTCTATCAACCTATGTTAAGCAAGGGTAGCTATTGTTAATTTTAGTCAGTGAATTGAAATGGTGGATAAGAGAAAGTGATGTATTATTCTATTTATCTTATAACCCATTCTTTCTTTCTTTCTCTTTTTCTTCATTACTACAGGGATCTCCTGGACAACCTGTAAGTCATTCTTTGGAATATTTGTTATGTTTCATATTTTGTTCTTTGATAACTTTAAACTAGTATCGTGACATTAGATCTTTGCTATTTTATGAGAAGAATTAATTATGCCTTGTATTCTTTGTGAATTGTGTATGACTGTTTTGATACTAGAAACATAACATGTCTGTAATTCAGATTCTGTACCTCATTTGCATTTCATTTTAAATTCAATTTTTTTTTCTCTCTCTCTCTCTCTCTGTTATCCTTTTCTACATACAGGGACCACCAGCAACAGCAGAGGTAAAAATCTGACATAAGTGTTTCTCTCAATACTTTTATTTTGTGCAAAAAGTTTTCTTTTAAATGATATGTAAAACAAAATTGATAATGATGATTCTCTGATGGTTTTTCTCTCATAAAAACAAAAAAATGGGAGAGATTGATAGTATTTTGGTAGATGCTATGAAAACTGTTACATTCATCATTTCTGGAGACAATGCTATCAGTTCAATTAGGTTATTATTAAGAGCATTTTTTCAACCATATAATGTGTAAAAAGATGAGATTCATGGATAAACTTCTGTTTTTAAAGAGAAATCAAACACTTAAAGCAAATAAACCTAAAAACAAAGCAGAAAAATCAGAGAAGTAGACTGGTATTTTGGGGAATTTTTGAAAATTGTAATAATTGTACATATATACGCTCTTCAAATTGGCTGAATTGATAATGCCACTGTGATGTAGTGAACTTATTGCAAGGTTTGGATTTCCCTTTAACGAATCTTCTATTCAGTATCTCCAAGCCATGTTGGACCGTGGCATGCTCACGCTCCGTCCAGATATGTATCCCAACTTCGGCGCTGGTTTCGGAGGCGGAGGAGCCGGTGCCTCGACAGACGGTGAACAAACCTTTGAAGCTACCGGAAGTGACGTTCCCTTGTCCACCTCCAGCTCCAATCCTTTCGGAGGCACCAAGAGGAGAAAGCGACAGGTGGGTCCCAGTGATCTACCATCAGATGGAGACTTCCTGGGCATTGACGAGCTTCTGGGTAATGGTATGCAGGGCATCGATGATCTACCCGATATGCCTTTCAGATACGTGCCCGGCTTTGATGAACTCCCTCTCCCCTACGTCAAAGCCATGGAGGTGCTCTTCTCGTCGCTCGACCAATTGCAGACAGACGTCGAGGGCATCAAAAAACCAAATGGAACCAAGGACAACCCCGCCCGTACCTGCAAGGATCTCCTCATGTGCCATCCAAAGACTCAAGATGGTCAGTAATGCCCCCTATGACCCCCTCACAGCATCACTCATGCCCTTCGACTGGTTCCCTGTGCTCCAGATTGACCCTGATGATCTTCGTAGATCATAAGAAAATCATAAGCTTCAACTTCTTTGAAGTTGCACATAATATGTTGTATGTCAAATGATAATCCAAACTAAGGTTCTTTTAAACGAAGATCCTAATCAAGTTGAAATGCTATACTGCAGTTTAGGTGTTAGAATCTTTAGCATTATTGTGAGAATATAATATATTCTTTCCTTTGTATGATTTTTATATATTCTTTTGACAGGGTATTATTGGATTGATCCTAACGAGGGTTGCCCTGACGATGCATTCTATGCATTCTGCAACATGACGGCTGGCGGTGACACCTGTCTAGCGCCCGATAACACCACCGGACATGTAAGTTGAGATAGGTGCTGCTGATTCTCTTATCCTCCTTACCGTTGCAGCCAGCCAATAATTCAAAGCAGCTGCCTTTAGAATTTATTCACTAGAACTGCTTTCCCTTTGCCTACCTTTGCTTTTAATTACATGCTGGAAAATTCATACTGCTATAAAGTTCTACCAACAAAATGCTCAGGTCTTTCACAATTGGTGAATTGAAACTTTTTGCAGGATAAAAATAAATGTTATGCAGATTATTAACGCTGTGATATAAAGCCATGCAACCAAAGTTATTTTTTATTAGGAATGAACTACAAAGAAGCATTTTATTTTGAACAAAGCATTTTTATTAAGTTATGTTTCTTGACATTGCAATTTGCTTACCTCCTGAAATTCCATTTAATTTTGCCTTTAAAGCTTATAATTTCTCATTAATTTGTTAAAGGTCATCTCATAAAAACCTGCAAGAATATTGATCTGTTCCCAACTTTCCAAGCTTTGCAGTTCCCTCTTAAGGAATTCCATATAATTTAAAAGCATTATCCATAAGTTAATAAAACCTTTAAAGGTGGTCTAAGTGATGTATTGATAAATACCTATTTGCTATCTCCTTTTCCGACATGTGATACACATTTAGTCTGCAATATATTTTTCATAAGGAAAAGATATACACAAAACTTAGACCACTTTATTGGTTTTCTGCTGCTTTTGGGCATTCACTTAAGAGAGCCAGCATTATTGTAGAATATATATCATTTTGTAATGTTTTGTTGAAATTTGTTTGTGTTCATGACCATTACCATTCTGCATTTCTTCTGCTTTTTCCCCCTGCATTTGTCTATTTATCCACAGCATTTCTACAATTACACGGAAGAAAATTCGGTATTTTGTACTTACAACTTCTAATATCAATGTTCTATTTATGTTAATAAGTTTTTGTTTTAAATTGCCATCTTCAGCTAATTCTGTCTTGGCATTTGCTAAGCTTTGTTTTGTTGAATGTGAAATAGTAATGGTTATTTAAGTGTGATTTCAATGCCTATACTATAGTATAGAGCAATTGAATTTTTACCTCAAAAACGTTATAAAATGTATGTTCATGATGCTCTGTGCATAATCAGACAAAATAAAGAATAGTTAAACCAATTCTTTTCCAAATACATTATGGAAAGACTAATTAGAAATTGAAACAATTTAAATATTTCCATATATAATTGACTAATACATTGTTGAAGAATAAAATTCGTTGTTGTTTTTCTATTTCTCAAAATATCACTATCAATTCACCAACTCCTCAGATTGATTTAACTCATCAACTTAATTGAGACCATGACATACTCACCGGATCATTTCATTTTTGTTTGATATTACCAGTCAACTTCGTACAGTATTATTCATTGTCATTCAAATAAGTATCAAAAGGACTTTAGCATGATTCTATTACATGTCCAGGGTGGTATTCAATATTGGTTTAACAACATATTTATTCAAGTTTATGAAACAATTTTTACATTAATGAGTAATTCATGAATTTCTCTCTTTTGCTGCATTTGTGTGTGCGCTAGAAAATTATGGCTGGTTTGGAGCTTTGTTAGTGGCATACTTTGGTCAGTGTTGCAAAGTTTATTTGTGAATTAAGGTGGCTTTGTCATAGTGTACTACCTGTGTGTCTTGTGTCAGCAAAATCCATCAAAAGAATTGTTAGTAATCTGTAATGATCGACCTTTTAAAAATATCATAGTTATTCAAAATTTAATTATGTGTGATGTATTTACATCTTTATTTTACATTGCCAGTAGTAATCAAAGAAATACAGAATCCTGAAATCCCTGACCTTAAACAAAAAAATATATGTCTTGTGGAAGATGTTAGTTTTGTCTGATATTTGATAGGCTCAGCATACTTGCAAACAGTTTTTTGCTTAACTAAGAATATGCTTGAATGGCACTGTTGATTTTCTTCGCTGGTTTTATGTGTCCTGTAGTTTATCAGTTTGTAGGAGATCACAAACACTGTCAATAACCATTACAGATAGCGACATCATTTATTTTAGAAAGAAGCTGACTTTGTCATATTTCACTCATAAATGTCATTCCTACCAAAATTATGATGAAAAATGATTGCCCGTATCCCACTGCTGCCACCAGAAATGGCAACGGTGAAATTCCATGGAAGATCTTAAATCGTGTGGTTATCTCACTGCTGTCACCAGAGAAATTGTAAATAGTTTGATCCCATGTAAGAAATAAATCAGGAATATCATTCAAGATTCTGAGTCCCGAAAAATGGTTAGTTCGCCAATGCCAATAAATTAATGATATTAAGGGAATATTTTATCATACGCTATACAATTTTATAAAAAACACGGTTTAATACCTACGTTTAATATTTTCATATGTAAATTGATCATGGAGAGATCTTTCCGAGGAAATGTACAGCAATAAAAACAATTTTTTTTTAAATGTCTGTGATCCCTTAGGTGATGTTCGGGAAATCATACAAATTGTGTCGCTAATTCTGTCCATTTCACCAGAATAATCAGAAGTAGGAGCATTCACTCTGCCTCATCATTCTATTTGTTTGCATAAAGTTAGCATAAATCAATAAATATTTAGTTTAAGGCACATTTTATTATGCCTCCACTACAAAGTATCCAGAGGCATTATTCTAAATACAATGATAACTTCCATGTGCATGTGTCTTGTCCATGTACATATATATTCCGTCTCAGGCTGCTTTGTTTTCAAAAAGTTCAAGTTTTAGATAGTGAAGTTTGGTGGATATGTTCACCGAGTATTGGATTTGGGACATATATGATGAAGCAGTGTGGATGTTCCTTCACAGATACATGTACATTATTAATTTTCAAGCATGTCCAAAAACACACCAGTAACAAGGTCACACGAGTATGTGGGATATGCATGCTTTATATCTCCTCAAACATCATTATCAACTCGAAAAGTTTCTTACTTTAGGTAATTTTCAAACATATTATGTGTTATAAAAGTTCCTGGCAGTTCAATAAAATCATGTTTGATTTTGTTTTGATAAACAGAGCGAACTACAGGCAAGCCATTTTACATGTACATTTATTTTTTGTCATGACATACATGTTATAAATCAGTTATAAGCCACTCTATTAAGATCATTTTTGTGTGATTGATTCCTGTGAAAGTATGAAATTTCGATTCATGCTATATCTCTTCTTTTCTAATTACAGACAGAAACTAAAGGATACCGCAAAGCAGTTCCAGGAGAGTGGTTCCTGGAGAATTTGAGAGGAAAAGAGGTAAATTGATTTTTGGTATGACCAATGGGTTCTCAGGTATGACCCAGGGTTCATGTAAGCTCTCACAATTCATATGAGTAGAATATGACATAAACTTGTTAATGTTCATTTAAATAGACTGGAAAAAATTCTTATCATTATTATGAGAAGAAAAAAAAGAGTGTTTCTGATATATATATCAATTTCCTTCTGTTTTGCTATATTCACTGCATTGAAAACTGATTCATATGATATATATGTTGAAAACAGAATATTGATTTGTTACATTGCACTGTACATTGATGTATATGTTTATAATCAGAATATTGATGTACATCAATGAAGTTTCATCAATGCAATACAATACAATACATATACAGTAGACTTCATTGATGTACATCGATATTCTGTTTATACAATACATGTATCATTTGTAATGCAGTGGCGAAATAAGAACAAATTTGGATTCATTTTAAATGTAGAGATACTGTTTGAATGCATTTATTTCCAAAGTCTGTATGGTTGCACAATATCTATGACTCATACTTTGTATTCAGTTTTCCTACCAAGGAGGCATCGTCCAACTGACGTTCCTACGTCTGCTGAGCTCCAAGGCCACGCAGAAGTTCACATACTCGTGTGTGAATGGTGTAGCGTGGTATGATGAGGCAGAGGATAGCTTTGATAATGCCATCAGACTTCTAGCTTCCAATGATGAAGAGTTCACGTTCGATGGCCTCAATCAACCTAAGGTCATCAAGGACGAGTGCAAGGTAGGTTGATAGTGAAAACTGGTTACTATAGTATCCTGCCGCTGCCACCAAAAAAGACAAAGGTGGAATTCCACAGAATACCTTTAATCGTGTGGTTTTCTCACTACTTTCATCAAAGAATTCATAGATAATGGGATTTTGGGGTTTTTATTTTTTGTAACAGCAAACAAAAGCTAATTCAGGCATTGACAGATAATTGTTGATGGCTGGTCACACCAGCAGTCCCTGAAATGAGAGTCCCAAGTAGGCCGATCAAATTGGGTTTTTTGCTGCTCAGATAATGTCATGTAGTATCACTAATATCTTCAAAAACAAAAGTAAAAAAGCATTTCCATTTCTAACACATGATACAAAATAAATTTGTGGAGCACACAATGAATGAGAGTTTAAGTGTAGACTTACATCAGAGAAAGACATCATTGCATCACTATTAAGGAAGATTGGATTTACTGTAAAACTGCTTTCGAAATTCATTGTGTAAATACATCAGGGATGACATTTTTAAGGCCCCACATTATATAATGAACATGCTTGTAGGTCCAACATTTGTATTCATCATGTTTTGTGCTCATTAGCATAGATACCACTTGGTATCACTGGATGTAGTTATATGATACATCATAGGTAAAAATCAGTGAGACCTTAATTGGTACAACAAACTCTCTGCGATAACAGGGTATGAGCACTATACAACTATCCAATATTGTCATGTTATCATTTAAAGGCTAAATACAAACAATGATTTATTTCCTTTTTATATCTTACAGAATAAGCCCTCGCTTGGTGAGACCATCTTAGAAGTCAATACATCAAAGCTTCATCAGCTTCCAATTTCTGACTTTGCTCCTCTCGATTTCGGGAGACGCAACCAGAAGTTTGGCTACACGGTTGGTTCCGCGTGTTTCAACTAGAAGTAGGGGCAAGCAACATATGTGTGCCTGATGGTGGTAGCAGAACCATGACACATCAGCACCGGAAAAAAAGCAACAATGATTAAAGAGATCGGTACCAAAAATCAAAGAAAAGTTTGTTGCTTTTTTATGAAAAGAAAAAGAGTTTCGGTTCATCCCATGAGTAGTAGACTAGCAGCTGCGCCTGGATTACTTCCGGGTTACAACAACACTCACACACCCTTTCATCAAGAGTGATTGTCGATTTTTGTTTGTATTATTTTATATAACTGTATCATTTTAAGTGTAGTTGATGGATCCAATCCCCCCTGAGTGACAATACAGGATCCTATGAAATGGTGCTATTTTCTACAGATTATTTTCATCTGTTTTAAGAAGTTTGAAGAAAAAAAAATTATGATGATGAAAAAAGTGTTGTGAATAACAATGTATTGATATTTTTACACAAATCTTTTTTTTTCAACAGGACAAATTTTATAAATAAAAAAAAAAATGAGTAGGCTTTGTAATAGTATTTTTCAAGCTTCGTCTTTTAACCAGTAGATGTAGTAGAAGTAGACCACAGTCTTAGTTATTGCTTCTGTATCCTACTAGTATCTAGTAGATCTGTTTTTCCTCTTTCTCTCTCTCTCTCTGCTTATTTGTAGATGACACACATTTGTTTTCTTCTCGCGTTGTATATTATTACCGCTGCCAGTAACTGTGTCTTGGAGTTTTCATTTCTATTTTTATAGTAGTTTGGATTAGATAGTGAGGAATGTAATTACAAGCAAATGTAGACTTTTTTTAAACATGTAAGATTATTTCAGGTAAATTGGGGGATTTTTGATAAGTTTGTGTATTGTACAGTCATATTTAGGCACGTTTTTCTAGCTAAATTTGGTGGTTTGTTGTAGGTCTTTTAAGTCAGTTATATTTTTCTTCTTTTTAAGTAAATAATTATCAAATATTCAGTATTTGATGTATAGCGTCTTTTTGTTTATATATCAGCCTATGTTTGAAAGAGTAACTCTTGTTTTAGCTGTAAATCATTCTGTGCCTTGCCTGAAGCCGCTGCTGCTGTGTGTAATGCCTATGCTCATTGAAAAAACGAATAAAATCGATAACATTTATAGTGAAAACTTCAGTAAGAATTGTCAGTTATCTTAGACATCCATTTTTTAAATATGCCATTGTAGTGCATTATCAGTATTTCACAGTATACCATGACCGTATCAAGCTGCAGTACTACCTAGGCAGAACAAGAAGAATTAATGTGAGCAAACATTATTCGAGAAGGCTCTACCTCCAATATGAAAGGACATTATAGATTAGCATCTACTTGATGAGAATGATAATCGGAAACTCTTCATGAAAGAAAAAGAAAAGCATTATATGTGAAGTCTTCCAATTCCCCTGTCCCAACAGCTTATATTGATGGAGAAAAAAAAGTAATATAAAAGTTGTCAGGTTTCTATGAAAATTATGATTGGGAAGTATTAAGTCATATTTTATTACCTCATCGTTATTTTGTTTTCTTTTTTCTGCTTGATAATATTTTGGGGAGAAAAAGAAGAACAAACGATTACATTTCCTGTGGTGTGAACAAATATACTCAACTTCATTGTTAAAAGTTTGATTGTTAATAAACAAGATATGAGTTTGGATCTGTTTTTTGTTTTTCTAAGATGGATAAGTTTGTGAATAAATTTTTGTGACCAATAAAAGCCTTGGGAATTTTCTGCCCCCTGAATTGAACAAAAAAAAATTATGTGTTGAAATTGGAGTTTTATTTTTGACTGTTGTGTATTATTTTTGACTGTTTTGTATTATGAAGGTCAATGTCAGTTACAAGATGTTAATTGTCAGTGACGGATCCAGGGGGTCTCTGGGGGCACTTAGCCCCTTACCTGGCCAGACCTTCATGTGGAAAATCTTAAATACATGTCGAATATAAAAAAAGAAAATGTGCCCTACAATTACGGCGCCTGGCTCTTTATTAAGCCATCAAAAGATACCTGAAAGTGTGAAACCTTATATATATAATAAAGACCACCCAAGGGAGACAAGAAAAGTGGTCTTTTTAGGCAGATGGTCTTTAAGTACAGGTTCTTTTAGTACATGTTTCATTGAGAAACCATTTTCAAGGGGAACAAAAGATGTGGTGTTTTTAGAAAGGTGGTCACTATAGCAGGTGTGCCTGTATTTATATTATTATATAGAATTTCAGATTTGCAAACTCCTACCTTCCCCCGCCGAATAATCCTGGATAAATATTGATGAGGAGGATGATGATGATGATGATAATGGTGGTGGTGATGATGATGACGGTTGCGGTGATGAATACGTTGATCATGATGTTAACTAGATAACTATGGTGGTGGTGGTGATCATAATGGCGATGATGATGGTGAAGATGAAGAAGGGATATTTTAGAGCAAATTATTATGATCTCCTGCCCCCTCCCCCATTCTAAAAAGGTGAAATTGTTCGGACAACTCCTTGGACTACCCCCCCCCCCCTCCCCCGAACATAGATGTATACCAACTAATAACCCCGGGAAAATACACCCTAAATTATTATACCCTGGACAACTACTGTATTTTTGTTTTGAGGGGTACTATTTTGTCCCGGGATACTTGTTCTAGTAGACCTAAAGGTTCAGGATAGATGTTCTGTTCGGTTGTTTTCCCCCAAGTGAAAGGGGTGTCCCGGGAATGAAAGGGGTGTCCCGGGGGTGAAAGGGGTGTCCCGGGGGTGAAAGGGGTGTCCCGGGGGTGAAAGGGGTGTCCCGGGGATGAAAGGGGTGTCCAGGGGATGAAAGGGGTGTCCCGGGGGTGAAAGGGGGTGTCCCGGGGGTGAAAGGGGTGTCACGGGGGTGAAAGAGGTGTCCCGGGGATGAAAGGGGTGTCCCGGGGTGAAAGGGGTGTCCCGGGGGTGAAAGGGGTGTCCCGGGGATGAAAGGGGTGTCCCGGGGGTGAAAGAGGTGTCCCGGGGATGAAAGGGATGTCCCGGGAGTGAAAGGGGTGTCCCGGGGTGAAAGGGGTGTCCCGGGGATGAAAGGGGTGTCCAGGGGATGAAAGGGGTGTCCCGGGGGTGAAAGGGGGTGTCCCGGGGGTGAAAGGGGTGTCTTAATTAGCCCCACCTATAGTCCGTGGTTAAGCTTACTCCACTTTCTTTTCACACCGGCAAAAAATTGCTTAAACCCGGACGCGTTATTTTTTTATGCGGCAAAGATTGGGGTTAGGTGCGTGTTGAGCCTATGGGAAAGTTTAGGGTTAGGGTTAGGGTTAGAGTTAAATCACGACGAAAGGAAAAACAAAGAGGGCTTGGTTGAATACAAAATACAATTAAAACAGAGAAAGACGGTGAATTATTAAAAACTTCGGTTCGCTTCAAAAGGAAATTTCTGTTTAAAATAAGAACAATAATATTTACTTTTTGACAAGCATTGCCTGAAATAATGCTTTCATGAAAGTTTCATATCGATCGGCAATCATTTGCCTCGGTTTCAGGTTGTTGAGCTAGGCCAGTAACTAATGCCCCTATATGTGACTTAATCCACCTCTCCTGTTGTACTCATCTGAAGCGCCAATACATCTAAAAAACACTGCACCCGGAGATTTCTTTAAAAAGGGGTGGTTTTTTTTTCTCTCTCTCTCTCTTTGGATCCCTGAGAAATTTAAGAAGGGGGTTATAAAATATTAAAAAGGGATTTTTTTTTCGCAGGCTCCCTTTGTTGGAAGCCTCATAAATTAAAAAGGGGGTTATAAAATATCTTGTATGTCATAGATAGGGGGGGGGGGGTACATTGAGCAGTGTTCCGGATTTAGGGGGGTCTCGAAGGTAGGGAAAGCCCCCCAAAAAGCCCGCGAAAGGGGGGTTCAGAAATGTTTGCAGTCCTGAGAATGGGGGGGGGGGGGGATGCTTTCAAAGGGAGGTAACGAAAGGGGGATGACATTGTAAGAAGGTGTTTTTTTATCAGAAAAGGGGCGGGGGCACTCCATTTTGCAGTGTGCATAACATGGGGTCCCTCTTCCCAGGCGTGTAGCCCCCCCTAATAATTAAAAAAAAAAGTACAAGAAGAAAAACAAAAAAAAGATGAAAAAAAGGGGGAAAGAAGTGATGGGGGGGGGGCGAAAGAGCCTTGCCTCCCAAGCTGTCGCCTCCCCCTTCCCCAATAAAAAAAAATAAGAGAGAAGGAAGGAAATAGAAAGAAGGGGGTATCAGTCGCAATTTTTCTCCCAACAAGTTGTAGATCGGTGTGGGGGTGGCGATAAAAAAAAGAGAGAAAGAAGGAAAAGGAAAAAAGGAGAGCTAAAAGGAACCGGAAAAAAAGGTGAAAAGAAGGGGAAATAGATCATTCGCAGTTAGTTAATCCCGCCAACAACGTGTGGAGAAGGATGGGGGCAAAAATGACCGTGCCTCCCCTCCCCCTCCCATTAAACCTTAAAGAGAGAGAAGGCCGGGAAGGGAAAGGGAAAGAGGAGAGAAAGGGAAAGAAAAAAAGAGAAATAAGAAAGGTAGGGAGATCAGTTGCGATTTCTCCGCCAACAAAGTAGATCAGGGTGGGGGGGGGGGGGGGGGGGGGGGGGGGGCGGGGTATTGGCGTGTTGATCGGGGAGGGGGCTCGAGGGAAATAAAATTTAAACGTGTTTTTTTTCTAATTCCATAACGGTGGTTTACACATAATGTTGAAATGACATAATTTTCCGAGGTTTTTCCTCATTCTTTAGTAAATTATACTTTTTTATGCGTTTGTAAATTAACAGCCAGGCAAGAAATATGCTTCTTGAGATGCCTACATGTCATATTTTTTTGGAAAAGCATTTTAAAGAGAAATAGAAAGAAAGAAAGCAAGAAACAAAGAATAGTTTATTACCAGTGTCACAACAAAATTAGGTATCAAAAATTGTTCATCTGACCGCAATTAAACGCCTAAAACCCCTGAGCTTCTGGCGGCTCTGCCCCCGGGACCCAACCAAGGGCCCTTGATGATACTCATCTGACCGCAATTTAGTGCCTAAAACCCTTGATCTTCTGGGGGCTCCGCCCGCTGGACCTCACGCCAATCAGTGTCCTGCCAGTGTCACAAATAAAGTATAAAGATATGTTCATCTGACCGTAATCAAAAGCCTAAACCCCTGAGCTTCCGGGGGCTCTGCCCCCTGGACCCACTGGATGCTAATCTGACGGTAATGTTATGCCTAAAACCCCTGAGCTTCTGGAGGCTCCGCCTGCTGGACCTCACGCCAATCAGTGTCCTGCCAGTGTCACAATAAGGTATAAAAATATGTTCATCTGACCGTAATCAAATGCCTGAAACCCCTGAGATTCAGGGGTTTCCGATTCAGGCGGGCCCCTGAATGCTTATCTGACCGTAACTTGCCTTCAACCCATGAGTTTACGAGGGCGGACAAGGTATCAAAAGATGTTCATCTGACCGCAGGCGCGAAGCCAGGGGGGCAGTGGGGGCGCCCCCCGCAAAAAACAAAACAAAAAAAACGGCCCAAAAAAGAAGGGAGAGAAAAGGAAGAGGACGTATGAAGAAAAAGGAGAGGACAAAATACATTATTGAAATTTAAACAAGGATTAAGAGTCGAAAACGGTACAACGAATCGTCTTCTTTTTTCTAATGATTTAACGAAACGTAAAAGCTTCCGCGCTTCGCGCGCGCGGATGAAAGGGGAGGGGGAGGGAAATTGAATTCAGACGAGGATTAAGAGTCGAGAATGGTACAACGAATCGTCTTCTTTCTCTATTAATTTAATAAAAAGGAAAAGCTCCCTAGCTTTGCGCGGGAGGGGGGGGGGTGAATTTAGACAAGGATTAAGATTCAAAAACGGTACAACGAGCCGTCTTCTTTCTCTAATGATTTAATGAAACTTAAAAGCTTCCGCGGTTCGCGTGGGAGGCGGAAAACTGTATTCAGACGAGCAGGCGCGTACGCATGGGGGGGGGGGGGGTGTTTATGTGTGTATCTTGGAGCAACCCCCCCCCCCCTTGTTGATTTTGTGATTTAAAAAAAAAAAATTATTTAAAAAATAAAAAAATAAAAAAATAAAAAAAACAAACAAAAGTGTCCTCTTCCCCCCCCCCCCCCCCCCCCACTTATTCAGTGGCTGGCTGAGTCGTTGCGATTTTTTTTTTTTGGGAGCAAAAAAAAAAAGTGGGTTCCCCCCCCCCCCCCCCCCCCCCCCCCCCCCCCCCCACGTGACGGGCCGGGAGGGAATGTACTGACATCCGTGGTAGACCGGCGCCGAACCGTAGTGCGCCTTGGAGCCTCCGGGACTCAGCAGCCCCTTTCTCCGCACGGCCCGTCACGGATACCGTGAAAGACCGTGAGAAAACTTGAACTTGAACACAGAGAATAATATTGCCAAAATCCCACGGCGCACTACGTTTCGGGCAAACGGGGCTGCTGTGGCCGCCGGGAACATAGTGTAAACGTAGCATTACGTCTTTCGGATGGTGACGTTTAAAGGTCTGTCCCCAAACGTAAATAATCATATCTGATTGAAAGACACACACACTTACCATCACCATATATTGTACATGTGCATGCACGTGTACAGTACACCCAGGGAAGGGAAGATGATAGAAAGGGGGGGGGGGAGAAATAAATGAGGAGATCGAGAGGAGAGGATAGATATAATGAAAAACAAAGAAATACATGGCGAAAGAGAAAGAGAAGAGGATCGATATAGATTATATTGCATAATATAACTAAATTAACTAAATTGATAATCTTATTTCGTGAGACTTTCCTTCTTTTTTTTTCTTTTTTTTTAGGGGGGGGGGATGTACACAATTCATTATTTTTTCGTTCTTTAAATATTTTAAAATTACATTTAAACAAGTATTTAGTGTGGTACAATTATATTTGTCCAAGGGTGGCATTCTGTAAACTATGCCAAATTTAGATTAAGTGGAAGGTATTCGGGTTGTCGTAACAACTATCAATTAAGACAGTTTCAATTTTCTGTGACAATTAACACCAATCTCACTAACACGAAGATTACATAGTTTCAGAATACCACCAGGTGATATTCTTTGAATTACATATTGAAACAAAGTAGAAGTATATGCTCTTTATTCAAAACTATGAAATGTACTAACCACGTTCAAATTAAATTTTCAACTTGCATTTATAAACTGCTTGTCCGTAGCGAAAGAGGTGTGTTTTCTGTTTTTGATGGGGGTGTCTCATATTTAGTGGTTCTAGTGGCCCGGGTTTTTTTTTATTATTTTGTATTGGTGATTTACGTCTTGAAATATTGGTGCCGAGATCTTCCCAGAGAAAAGCAGAAAGAACTACCTTGCATACAATGTATTTTGTCTGAATATCATCACTGTGGAGATACATGTACTCATGTATATTGCAGTAAATATGTTCATAGATATACTAAATATCAAGATAGTTGTATTATAGTATTAGTGTAAATTGTGTTTTGCCAGAGAAGCACTTTTATTCATTACATGGTACTTGCACTCCTGTACTAAAACAAACAAACTATATTCTATATGGCTTTATCCTCAATCGTGAGATAGAATCAAGAATTGACATACCGGTAAATGTTTCACATCTTTGAAACATTTGATTCTTGTGTTGTCTAAGTTTATATTAATTGCTTAATAGAACAGTTATTTACACATATTTGATATGCTATATATAAGATGCTTCTTATAAGTATCGGCTTGCATGGTGATGTAGATATACAGTAGGCTTAGGGTTGCACCATGTGAGAGGGGGAAGGATTGGACAGTCCTAGACTCCCGAATCCTCCCCCTCTCACATGGTGCAACCGTAAGCTTACTGTATATCCTATATATCTTCGATGATGTTTATGCTGTTAATTTGGTTGCGGATAATAAACTTTGAAAGAATTGCTGGAAACAGATCTTCTTCATGATTACTATTTACGTACGTAATTGGAACTTCGTGTGTTCAATATAGTTGAATGTACATGTAATTTGTCAAGAAAATTACATTTACAGAAACCAATACTGCAGTTCTTCAACAATAGGGAACAAGTGATGAATGTAAAACAGTTAACTTTTAATTTAATAGAGACAGAAGCATTTATTATGGATGGATGCATTCTTACTAGGTTAGAATTGATGCACTTTTATCATAACTGTAAATTTACATTGATTTTCCACAACAAAAAAAAAATCAGGTTTTAGGTAGTTTGCCAAAATTAATGATATCTTCTAGAGGTCACTTTATACTTCCTTATGTTTACTTTAAAAGCATGAAGAAATTTAATATTGAAAAAAAAATATTATTACAAAAAGAGATCTAGAAAATAAAAAGACAAGTAACATATTGAATATCACTTTATGATTCATTTATTGAGTTCAAAGATTGCAAAAAAACACAAATGAGATGAAACGGTCTAGCATTTTTCACAATGCTTGATCAGCAAAGCTAGTACTTAATAGCTTCCCAAGGACTTCAGTGTCCTTCAACATATCCAGCATGCATCTACATGTATTTGGAATGCTCTTCCATTCTATCTCCTATTAACTTAACATCAAGGCATGGTACACACACGTGTATAACCATCCTTAATTGCAGCAGCTTAACATGTCATGGTACGGGAGCAATTCTACTCGTTCTACTTTACACCTGGCTGAAACTGTCCATACTATTACAATATCAAAGTGTAAGAGTCACCTAAAGAGTGGAGCTCAAAAGGCTAGAGAAAATTTCATTGAACCTACAAGGCGAAGATACAGTGCGTTGTATATTAATGAAAAATAAGTAAACATTCACAAGGCTTTGTAGTAAGATGATATTGGCCAAATTCGAAAGCTTCAAGTTTACATTTTTTTCTCCATCAAATACATATTTCAGATCTTTTCTTCCTCCAAACTTATGAAGCACCTTGGAATCAATATGCAAATACAAGGACACTTATTGTCCTGAATCATTTTTTTTTAAATACACACACAAACACACACACACACACACAGATCATACATTTCTTAACAAGCGACATAAAGAATTTTTCACTAATTGCAAGACTTTTTAATGAAATGAATATGATTTTTTGTAAAGGAACTGAATAATTAATCCATGTATCAGTGAATGCTGGATGCAGATTTTTGTTTTACATTGCCACTTGGACTGAATCACCGAACAGGTTGAGTCGTGAGAAATTTCAGGCTTACTTTGAATCAGGCAAGGGTAGAAATTCTACTAAATATTACTAAATTAGTTTTTAAACAAGGGGGGGGGGGGAAGCAAATTGAAATTTTTTTTGAGGATAAAAAAAAAAAATGTGCTCACTAGAAGCTCTGTAGCTCTGTAGAATAGCTTGTAGCTTAAGTATGTATTCAATAGTTATTCATATTAATTCATTACATTCTCATTCATTGCTGTGATACTTTTGTGTGTTAGTGGTACCAGACACGATTAGCATTAAATGCTATTTTCTGGTCCCATTTTATCCTTTAAATGTTAACCATTGACATTTGATTGTTATATTGATATACTTTTTGTTTGGATAATAAACTTCAAACTCAAACTCAAACACATAATAATACTCTTTGATGCATTAAACATTGTACTACACACAAATTTGCTAGGATTAAAAAACCTCATTTAAAATGCATAATATATTCATAAACAAATAAGGAGTAAGACATTTCAGTAAAAATACCTGTTCATACCAGAACCTTTCCTAACTGGGCACTTCAAAAAAAAAATCATATTCTTTTTAACATACTGCACCTCTTCTCTGGAATGCATTTCCTCAGGAAATATGTCAAACTAGAAATTGTATTGGATTTAAAAGAAAACTAAAAACTTATTTATTAGCAAGTACGTAACCCCTGTATACTATTTTATGTGATAAAAAGAAACTCCATTTTTATTCCTTCTTCACTTATAACATGTTTATATTATATATATTTAAATATATCAATTTGTTTTGTTTTGTATTGTTTTGTTATTGCAAAAATATTTTAATTCAAACCTTTGGCACAGCCTCGACAGGTTCATTTGAACTTTTAAAGTGACCCAAATTTCGTTTGATTTCTTTTCCGTCGTATGTATTGATCAGTGACTTTCTCATGTTTGTATAATTGGTATTTTTGTTTTATTTTACATCCGTAATATCTGTTATGTACATATATGTTTTTTATTGAATGGAATGAATACATCTTTTTAGTGGACCCCTCTGTTTCCAACATGTATTTCTTAGATTTGTTTTAAATGCTTATAATTGATTTTTAATGTTTTGTTGGAAACACGAATAAATTTGAAATTTGAAATTGAAATTGAATCTTTAATTTTGAAGTTTGGCACTTTGCATGACTCCACTACTCCTTTGAATTGAGTGCAAGCACAGCCTCAACAAATTGCTCCATCTCTACAAAGTCTGCAATAACAATATTAATACCAGTGGGTCCACTAGTTTTATCTTTGAGGAAAATCTTTGTTTGCATAATCGCAGTAAGTGCAAACTCATCTTTCAAGTTACTACCAATGTGCTGCAGGATGGTGTTGACAGTCGGTGTCAAGATACCCTGTGATACGTAGAACATATCCGGGGGCCTACCTGTAGTGAGGTCATCATTGAGTTCGGTCATCATCTTGAGTGGTTCATCCGTGTCGGGCCATTTACTTTTGATACTGGTGCATTTCCGCCAGATGTTAGTATGCTTCGCCGATATCTCATCGTGCTGGTAGATTGTAATGACCTGCCAACCTTCATCGGAGAGGACATTCAGGGTAACCCCTTCTAAATCCATCTCTGGACAAAGCTTGGAAGAAAAGGCCTCCTCTATGCAGGATATAAGCCCATCATGATCCTTCGCCTGCATATCGTAAAGATGATTGCAATCAATAATGACAACTTCCCTGGGATGTTCATTCAACCAGTCATTGATTTCTCGCAGGCCATCACTGACGAGTAACCCATACAGGCCGTGCTCAAAATAGAAGCCCTCCTTGCCAGGCCAGGGGGAAATCCGGAAGTCAAAGTAGCGAATCCCCAGGTCCAGCTGCTGCTTAAAGTTGAGTGCCTGTGTGACTGACCATCTGTGGATGATCTTCTTGGCCATGTTGACTGCAACTGCAATATTTTTACTAAGGAAATCTATCATGTCCTTTAGTATTTTGGGTGATCCTGGTGCAACAGGTGACTTGCAGTCGAGGAAGAAACTGAATGAGTTGTGAGATCCTATATCAAAGAGAGGAGGAAGAGTGTAAAATATACAGTTTCACAGCAACTCAATCCTAGTAACATTTATTTTGGAGCGTTTTCTTTCTTCGCTAACTACATTGCAGGAAGGATTTTTCTATCATGAAATGAATTTGTTTGCAAATTTGCTTTAAAATGAAGAGCAAAATTCCATTAAAAAATTCATTCAAACTATCATAAATACAAATTAATTATTAAAAAGAAGGAAATAAACGTTGACGGATCATGGTAGTTAATTAGAATTATTCGTTAGTATTGATGTAAGATAATATCTAACAGTATCATGACTTTATAAAATAGAGAAATTTCACATTATTATTGTCGAGATATATGAATAATAAGACGAGACGAGCCAACAGTCAATCCCTCAAGTCTCAATGATCGAATCGGTCATAACATGATCATTTAACTAACAGCAAAATTAAGCTTTGTGACAGTGGTTTACTGCTACATACCTGGAATAGCTATATTTTTCAATGATTCACTTCGTAGTCTGTCTGGCAACTCTCCCATCCAGTTTGGAAATGTTTTATATGTTGCACTTCCATTCTCCATATTTAATCCGTCCTCTTTCCGCGCCAAACTGCTAAGTGAGGCGGTGTGATATTCGACGTCGCCTCTCTAAATAATATTTCACCGAGTCCTTTATCCCATACAAATCGCCCAATACCGATATCGCTTTAGTAGTTTCACCCCTCACTCTAATAATGAGATATTTAGTAATTAAAAAATTCCCCCTCTGAAAGATAATTCGGTGGTATAGTGTACTTTCGCACCGCCAGCTGGTGTGTTTTATTCTGTCACATTGCACGCATTGGTTTCCTCACTCTCGTATAATAACTCTGTCATCGTTCTTTCTATTAGAAAAAAATAAAAAGAGGTACACAACCAGGAGGGCCGAGTCGTTTTCGGGTAGTGCGTCTCGGAGATAAATAGTTGTTTCTTGGCGACTGAAAAGTGGGCGTGTCAGTTTGTTCCTATCGTATCACTGTGAACAATCCCGACTGATATTGTAGTTTATAAGATGATGAAGTGGATCCTAATCAAATGATTGGTTGAGAGCATACACGTGACCAGGCCTTTATTTTGCCTAACACGTAATTTTACTAATGACCGGTCATTAGTAAATGCTAAAAATGACCGTTAATTAACAAAATGATGTTATAAAACATTTATTTTATAAAAACACATAAAATATCATCTTATAAAACGAATAATACACATCATTTTGTTCGGGCATTAGTGAAATTACCCACACTCGGTACCTTCGAAACAGTCCAAACAGCCTCGGCTGTCGCCTCGGGCGTGTAAGACTGTTCCAAAGGTACCGTGTGTGGGTAATTCCTCCTAATGCCCTCACTGCTGTGTATTATTTTTATATTATTCGCGGCCTTGGCTGTAATGAATGAGCTGATCGTTTACTGAAACAATATCTTTAATGATATACATATTACCTTTCATATAGAAGTATAGAGATCAGTTTGTATGTGGGAAAGGTAAATCGATAGGCCTGCATAATACTCTTTAGTTAAGAGGCATATGCACTAGCTAGCGTGTCCTCCCCCCCCCCCCCAAAAAAAAGAAGAAGAAAGATTGATGCTTCTTAGAGACCGACGATTTAGGACAAGAACCAGTAGACAATTCGTGGCTCGGCAGTCTTGATTGTACCTGAAATCAATATGTACCCTGTCAGAATAAATGAAAACAAAAAGTAAAAGAGAACTGAATAAAGCTCTGTGCTCACGCTAAGGTGTCTTTGTTGATCCAGGGGCGGTGCCATAGGGGGCAGATGGCGGCCGCCCCTATCATTTTCCAACAAAAAGGTAAGAGGCAGAGAAGGAGAAAGAGAAGGAAAAGAAAAGGAAAAAAAAATGTGAAGGGAAAAAAGGTAGGGGAAGAGAAGGAGGAACTTGGAGTTAGAGAACTATAAAATGTAAATATGTGGGATAGATGGGGTTCATTTCATTTGTATATATCTCAAAATGATTACGTTATTTGGAATTTTCAAAGAAAGACACTGCATTTATTCCCTTCCCGAAAATCTTAGAGAACTAAATATATGTGCCACAAATTGTCCTTTTCTATTCTTCCTCAAACAGAACAGATACATTCATTGTAAAGAGTGCTATTTTAGAGCACATTTTTTTTTGGCCCAAAATGTGAAAAATTTGCCGTTTGATATTTTGTTACATTTATTGTATTTTTTGGTACATTCATTGTAAAGAGTTTAGAGCACATTTTTTTTTGGCCCAAAATTTGAAAAATTTGCCGTTCGATATTTTGTTTCGTTGCGGGGGAGGGGGGGGGGGGGGGTGGTAAGGTAATTTTTTTTAGTCACCCATTACCACTTTTTTTAATTATTATTTTTCATTTAAAAAAAAAAGGGGGGTTCAACCCCCCCCCCTGCGTACGCGCCTGACCCCTATTATAGCACTTTGCATAGAATATTTGGTCTTTTAAATTCGTCTGGATTTGTATGGAGTGACTGTTTTTACCATTACATCCCTTGTATCTCACTATATTTAAATCCAACATTATAAAGGTTGCATCCAGCATGTCAGAAGTATCATCTACAACTTTGAAAATGCTGTCATTTTTTTGTATTAACTTAAAAAATATAAAAATGAGGGGGGAGGGTTTTTTCCCCTCTAAAACAAAACAAAAAGTGTGAGGAGGGTTCGACCCCCCCCCCCCCCTGCGTACGCGCTTGACCTAAAGCATTAGGTATTCACCTGCCAAGTCATAGACATTTCATTCAGCATGCAGAATATTCTTTAGTCTATTTGATAGCATTATGTTACAAAACCTAGCAATGAATCAACATAGATAGGTATCTGGCAGAATACTTTTCAGTTTACTTTTTGGTAACATCATGTCACAAATAGCTTGAGAGATTTGCCTTTTTCCATTCAATCAAAGGTTATGTAATAAGTATGAATATACATATATGTCTTTTTTGTTTTGTTTGTTATAGTATGTTTTTATTATATTTATATTCAATTGTATGTTAATGGGCTCCATTTACAAGCTTTGCTTCTCAGGGGTCCATAGCCTGTCATCATGTTATAATTTTACCAGTACCAATGTGATTGTAAATTGTTTTTAATGATTGGCTGAATACATTAAATTGAATTGAATTTACAGTATATCTGGAGATTTGTAATCTCTCTAATTTCATGTACACCTGGGGATTTTGCCAAACTTGTTTCCCAAGAACCTTTAGGAACATGAAATTGAATATAAAGATAAAAGGCCAAACTGAGGCAAACAAAAAATTGAAAAGATAAAAGGCAAAGATAAGTTCAGATCTATTCCATGATGCCTACATTTATAAAATTAGCATACTATTAAATAATTTCTTAGTTGGGTCCTTGCTTCTGTGAGAGATAAACAACATATTAAGACTGATACTAGGCAAATCTATGCAAATTAGAAATTATGTCACATTGGCACTGCACACATTGAAATGTTCATTTTGTATTCATCTCAATGCCTTTTTCACATAACAAGACATTTACATTCTGCTTGAAAGCTTGATTATGTTACTCTTTGTCTGCTTTGCAACTAAGAAGAAATTTAGGAGCGACAATTTTTACCAGACAGGAATAACAATTGAATGAAAAGATTCAAACGTTGACATGATTTTAAAAATTCCAAATTATTTAAATGTATCATTAATTTGTAGAAAATCTCTAATACATTTGGAGTACCAAGTAGGATAGCGTTGATTAATAATTAATAAGTTTCCTTATCCATTTTATCATTGTTGCAATTACATGTGATTTGAAATTGTAGTAATTAAGTATATCTCTTTATGACCTTATGACCAAGGAGACATGCTTAATATATCCTAAAGCAATGTTAATCAAGTGGAGCGCAACTATTCCCCCCGCAAAGTATTAACGAAGAATGAATACATGTATGTTTGATTTCTGCCACATGATCATGGCTGTAGTCAAGGATACAAGTAATAGCAGCTAGCACATTTCCAATCATGCTACAAGTTTGTGCTGGGAGACAGACGCTGTGTCGGGACGTGATGGGGTGAGGATGATCAGTGTGTGTGTGTGTGTGTGCGATTGTGTGTGTGTGTGTGTGTGTGTGTGTGTAGTGAATGTATTATTTTTCAGGAATGATAGTAATGATGTAATAACTAAGTTCAGTATGTTATTATTATTATTAGAAAAATTTAGTTATTTCATTCTATTATTCTACTTCTTGGCTCACTGTTTTGTGAATAATTTATTTATGTTAAGAAAACGGAATGAAGTTTTGTATTTGTATGGAATAATTTACATTCAATCTTTATGTAATGACTTATGTTGAATGAAATCTCTAATAAAACAAAATATGGATTAAGGAAAAAGTACGTGTGTGAATATGTGTGAGGTGTGTTGTGACCTGCACTTTGTGAGCATGTATCCATAGTTACAGGAAGGTGCATAGAAGAGGCCTTGTGTGGTGTGGGTGAGGGTAGGGTGTGTGTGTGGGAAGTTTTATGTGTGCCCAAAGTTAGAGGTAGGTGCATCAAAGGGAATTGCAAACACGCTGTTAGATATACTTTGCCATTTCATTTTCAGCTGTCAAGCATGCATGATTGAGCAGACAGTAGACTTCTGACTGCAGTTAAAAACAAACAGCTGGAATATATCATATTAAAACTTTCTCATTGTATCCTGGATAGATCTAGTAAACAGAATCATTCTTCACTTTATTGCATATCTTTGTGAATTCTATAATACAACCTTGTTGCTTAACTTATAGGTTTTACATGGCAATATCATAAACTCATAATGAAAATATATGCAGTAGTAATTTTTGATCATATTTTTAAATACTCAACCTCATGATGTAAAATAAAACAACCCAAAAATCGAAAGTATCTCATGAATTTAAAATCCTTACTCACGATGACATCTTCCTATTGAGTTGCGAAATTATTTTAAAATCTGATTAAAAACTGTTGGGGGACATGAGCAGACCTATTCTTTACTTCCATACATTTACACAAGCAACTCCTGTTGTAAAGTGGATTTTAAGAAAACAATTTTTGTTTCATTTTTAATAGTATTTCCCTTTTGTATGATTATCCTTAACAATACTTCGTTAATTTTCATCAAAATGTAGAGAGATGTCTTCATTCATTGGAGGAAAACATGTGCACATTGCTATGAGAATGGGTAAATCTTTATATATCAAGATATCTTTATCTATACTCTAGTCTGATTTATTTCATCTATTCATCTTTTCCACAAATAACATGTGTAATAATAATAAGTGAAATTTCATTCATAATGAAAGAGCTTCAAACTTATGAATGCAATTATAGGGAATGAGAATGTGATGTATGAACAATACAATAAAGCCCCTCTAAAGTGTTGGGAGCCCCAAAAACTTGATGGCGAAAGTTCACTTATATTGTATCATAATGTGAAAGAGGATGTCATTTAAGACACGCCTATGCAAAGATTTTCAAAACAAATGTGTTTGAAGTCGAATATTGATGAAAGAATACAAAGTTTAGGTTTTCTGCGTACAACAGATAACCCAAATTATGCATTCTTGTATTAATATTTGTCTTGAAACACTTTTTTTTGGTGGGAG